AAAAATCTTATTAAAAGTTGTATTTCATTAAAAATTGAAACTGAGAGCTGTAGGCTATTCTGTGTTTAAAGTGTTCTCTTTATGCCTGTTATTATGACTGAAAGCCATTCAATCCCCCAAATCCAACAACCAGTGTTTTTAGTTTATTATATTGAATTAAACTCTCACTGAGAGACTCTGTGTTTGGCTTTAGGTCGTGTTGTGGTGTTTGCTGTGAACGAAAGTTAAAGATAAACCGTTATTTACACACAGAAAGTGAAAGTCACACACACCCGGGGTGTAATCTACAACATGCAGATGCCTGCCTGACGCACACACACACGAAGGGGGGTCAGATTCTGCCAGGGGGATGGAATTCAGCACAATGCTGGTCAGAGTTCAAACAGTGATAATGATAGACTGTGTTTATTTTATTCTTGTATTTCTATAATTCTTTACTGTGACGTTGCTCTGTTAATCATACTAACTGCTTCATACTGACTCAGAAATGTGTTTTTTACTTTATTGGGAAGTGAAACAGTCAAAGAGTCTCTCTCATTTAAATATTCATACAAACAGTCGGACAGAGAGAGAGCAGTTATGGCAGGTACTGCAGTTAGTTGGCAGAACTAAAGTCTCTGATGTTCTAGCACAGGGGTGTCCAGACCTCTTTCACAGATTTAACCAAAATACAGCCTCTTTTTACCAATATATTATTATAAAATTAAGCAAAATAATTATATTAAAATATGAAAAAAACAAAGATGTATAGAACAATTACTATGTATTTATAAATGATTATAGCAAAGTAGCTAAAATAACTGCAGCAGGATATCAATAGAGTCAAATCAAATCAAATCAAATTTATTTGTATAGCGCTTTTTACAACTGATGTTGTCACAAAGCAGCTTCACAGAAATCCATTAAAGGCAAAGTTTTAACATGAAATGTAAATCCTCCAGGTGAGCAAGCCAGGGGCGACAGTGGCAAGGAAAAACTCCCTCAGAGCTGAGGAAGAAACCTTGGGAGGAACCAAGGCTCACATGGGGGGACCCATCCTCCTCTGGTCAAACTACCTACAAAATTATTATTCTACTAATATTAATAGTAGTAGTAGTAGTAGTAGTAATAGTAGTAGTAGTTAGGAGTCCATGAAAACTTCAGTGTAGGGTGGGCAGCTAGTCCAAGGCAGGTGGCGGTAGCTGGGCAGGTGGTGGTGACTGGGGCGTGGGCAACTGGTCTGAAGCGGATAGCAGGAGAGCTCCGCAGACAATCATCCATCAGTGTCCGTCCGACAGGTGGGCAGTCGTTTACTCTGAAAAAGGTAGGGAGATGGAATTAGTTTTGTTCTGTTTGAGTGTATGTAAAACAGAGAATGTGAACATTTCCAGAGTGTGGCTAACGACTCCAGTAAATCTGACTATAACAGCTTAACTAAAAGGAGCGAACCAAAAGGGCACACAGACACGGGAGCACCCTGAAACAATCTGGCATCCCTCCGCTCCACCGTCCACAAACCTGAGTGATCACATGCGAGCGGCGGGACAACAGCACCAGCGTCTCAGTTTACTATAATTCCTTGTGTCCGTGGACCCCTGGATCTGCTGCCTTTATCTAAGGGGGAACAATTAACTACCAAAAGCTAAACTAAACAAGTGAGTTTTCAGCCTAGATTTGAAGATTGTGACTGAGTCTGAGTCCCGAACATTTTCTGGAAGATCATTCCAGAGTTTGGGGGCTTTATAAGAAAAGGCTGTTCCCCCAGATGAAGCCTTCTGAATTCTGGGAACTATTACAAAGCCAGCACTCTGTGATCTGAGTAATCGTGGTGGCTCGTAATGGGAAATAAGGTCTTGCAGGTACTCAGGAGCGAGCCCATGTAGGGCTTTATACGTCAATAAGAGAATTTTGTAATCGATACGAAATTTAACAGGCAGCCAATGAAGTGATGATAGAACTGGACTGATATGATCAAATTCTCTAGTTTTAGTGAGAACCCTGGCTGCAGCATTTTGAACTAGTTGAAGTTCACTTAAATTCCTGCTGGTGCATCCTGATAGTAGTGCGTTACAATAGTCTAGCCTTGAAGTAATAAAGGCATGTACTAATGTTTCTGCTAACCCTAACCCTAACCCTACTGCCTATGTGTTGATCAAATGATAAATCTGGATCAATTATGATGCCAAGATTTTTTGCTGCTGAACCTGGTATAACTGGAAAGTCAGCGAGATTTAAAATTAAATCTGCTAATTTATTTCTTGCCACTTTTGGACCCAGAAGGAGAACCTCTGTTTTGTTACTGTTTAGGAGGAGGAAGTTATGTAACATCCAGCCTTTCACATCTTTTACACAGTCCTCTATTTTCTTTAGCCTGTATTTGTCATCAGGCTTGGCTGATATGTATAATTGCGTATTGTCTGCGTAACAGTGAAAGTTAATGCCATGGTTACTTATAACTGTGCCTAACGGTAACATGTATAATGTAAATAATAATGGTCCTAAAATAGAGCCTTGTGGAATTCCAAATCTTACTTGTGAATAATTGGAAGATGAATCATTTACCTGTACGAACTGATAACATTCCGTTAAGTAGGATTTGAACCACGATAGGGCGGTCCCTGTGATTCCAACCATGTTTTCTAACCTTTCTAGGAGAATATTGTGGTCTATCGTATCGAAAGCTGCGCTGAGGTCAAGTAGTACCAACAGGGATATGTAGCCTTGATCAGAGGCAAAGAGAAGATCATTTGTTATCTTAACTAGAGCTGTCTCAGTGCTGTGATGTGGCCTGAAACCAGATTGGAATTTTTCATAAATGTGGTTCTTATGTAGATATGAACTAAGTTGTTGGGCTACAGCTTTTTCTAAGATCTTAGACATAAATGGTAGGTTAGATATAGGCCTGTAATTAGACAATACGCAGCATCAAGGTTTGGTTTCTTGATCAGAGGCTTAATAACTGCTAGTTTAAAAGCTCTGGGTACATGGCCCAGGCTAAGGGGCGAGTTTACTATAGTTAAAAGAGGATTAATGATAACTGGTAGTACTTCTTTGAGTAATTTTGAGGGGATTGCATCAAGTGTGCAGGTTGTACAATTTGCAGAGGAGATAATCTTCTCTAGTTCTAGCTGTGGGAGTGGGTAGAAATTTTCAAGCCTTTCTTCTGCAGCTATGTTATGTTTTATATCAGCCATGTCAGATGACAGCCAAGTTGGATTTAATACTGTGGGTTGAATTTGTTGTCTAATATTTTCAATTTTATTATTAAAAAAGTCCATAAAAACATCACTGGTGAGAGTCGCCGGAATTTGTGGTTCAGTGCCTGCCTGATTTTTTGTAATTCTGGAAATCACACTAAACAGTACTCTGGGATTATGTTTATTATTCTCGATCAGCGAGGCCAGATATGCTGAGCGAGCTTTATTGAGAGCATTTCTATACTCTATAAGGCTGTCCTTCCAGGCAAAGTGGAACACTTCCAGCTTGGTTGGAACACTTCTAGCTTGGTTGGGTGAACAATACTGCCGATTATTTAAGCTGAACATTTTCTTTAAATATGTATCCATAACGCTGCATCTTTAAAACATTTAAACTATATCAAATATTAACATATTATCAGTATATCAGTAATATCAGTCAACATTTCTTATACAGGTTATATTTCATTACTCAGTTGCTATTCAAGTTTCTTAGTTAAGAAACTTAGTTTAAGTCACACAACCAACTAAATACAGAACAGCTCACCAGAACAGACAGCCCAACAGAAACTAATGTGAGGTGTGGAGCTGCACCTTCAGCTGCATTACATGTGTTAGGTCTGGTATGACAGCTATCAGTAGCGTTAGACATAAGATTAATATTTATAAATTCATGATTCTTTTCTTTGCAAATGACATTGACCACTATAGTTAAACATTCTTTCATAAATTCACCATTAGGGTTTTCCATGCTTAGCGATTTGCATAAACCCTCATAACTACCTCTGGTCACATTCTCCTGCAGCCCCCATGGCCAAATAAAAAGTTGCTGCTAAGAGACCAGGGCAGCATCCAGTGGCTTAGGTTTCTCTGCCCTCTCATCTGACTGAATTTACTGTCATTCCGGTGCTTTGTTTTAAAATGTCTCTTGAGGGTAAATTCCTTTTAATGTAATTGCATTTTCTGTGGGCCTCGATGAAAAAAGAAATCTGAATCTTTCTTAAAGTCGCCAGTTCTCACTGTGAGCTTTGTGCTTTTTTTCTGTAACCATCACAAAATGTCGTTCAGTACATTATTTGCATATCCAGTCCGAGAAAAAGGTTCTTGGAGTTTAGCTAACTTCGATAACACAGTGGCGCAACACACTGTTCATTTATGTACTCTGCCAACATCAGGTGAAAGGAAAAACTGCAACGTACTGGCCCGGTGGGCCGCCAATAACGCATTCTTAAGAGCGATACCACAAGCCTATTAATATCTGTCAGCCGGCTGCATTTGGCCCGACTGTGGACACCCCTCCTGTAGTATTTTCTGCAAGGTGATATTGAGGGACAAGTCTATCTTTTGCATTTTTACACTCCAGACACCAAGATTAAGTTAATTTTTCAGTGTTTTTGAATAATTTTATCATGTTTGGTATCAGCTAATTAACTCTTCACACACTGGCTGGTTGTGAGCTGGAAGTGATGAGGCTGTCATGTTGGCTGAGGTAACAGAACATTAATAATTAAACCAAATAATAAGTAGCATTCTGTGGTGGAGAGAGACTGAACAGTGTTTGGAGATGTTAAGTTCCATAGCGCGTTCACACTGAGTGTGGGAACTGACGAGAAATATTAGCAGAGCTACACACTGAGAGAGTTTATTGTACAGCAGCATCGACGGTTTTAGAAATGACTGTTACTGTATACCAGAGTCAGTGGGGGAGTTGAGTGAGAGAGTGAAACCATGCAACCTTCAGACACACACACACACACACACACACACACACACACACACACACACAACACACAAATCTTATCAACAGCACACTGCTGTCGCACGTTGGCTGAGGCGTTGGGTTTTTACCAGTTCTGTTTTTTCAGTAGCTGCTTTAGTGTGACTTGATAGAACTTTATACAAGTTAATTCATTGGAGGGAATGAACTGAAATGGTTCAAAGTCTTTTAAATCCTCAGGTGAGTATGTGAAAAAGTGTGCTAACTTTAGCACTGATTGAGTTTTAGTGTGTTTCTGTGATCAGCTGTACTCAGTGAATGAACTGTTGTTCTTGTGTTTCAGAAATGAAGTGTGTTTGGGTGATGATGCTGTTCCTCCACTGTGCTTCTTCAGGTACAGTAACTCTATTAAAGGACTAAACTCCTAAACTCATACACATTAGAGAAACATCAAACAGGCTGAATCACCTCTGAAACTAAATGACTCTAGTTCAGTATAACTTTCTCTTCAGCTGTATGTAGTTAATGGACTTATTCTGGAAAATGAACAGAATCTTTTAATAACATCTTTTAGTGGTGTTACATCTGCAGACAGGACACAAAAAGGCTAAATAAAGAAACAGTACTTTGTAGCCCACTACCAAAAAAAGTGAGGAGGATGGAAGAGAAAAGAACCATGAGTCTGACTCGTTTATCACACACAGAATTTTATGAGACACAAACTGTTTGCCGTTCTACAGAACAGGGGTGCAACTAGACTAACGACATCAGGCACTGAGCCAATCAGATCAGCTCAAGACCCACCCCCATATGAGATACCAGATCATTTACTCATACTTTTACTCATACGAGATTTTTTACTCGTCTAACTTTTGTTTACACATTTTGGTTCGATGTTAAGTATGATGGTGTAAATGTGAAGCAAATCATAACTAAAATGGAACAAAGTACTATACTTTTTTTAAATATTAAAAAAAAAGTACAGTAACTTCAATATTTAACTAACAAAATATAGAGTGCATTTGGGTCTTTCTATAATTTGGGGCACAAAAATAATGTTCCCTCTCACAGAAACAATCAGTGAGGGCTCAAGGGTTCAAGTAAGGACATTCCTTCACTGTAACATATTCAATGCAAAGCTTAAACATTATTTTTTTTTAAGGGAAAGGATGTTTTAACTAATTAGTTTGTCAACTATGTTACGGACAAACTGTGTGTGATTACAGTCACTTGATTAAATCCTGCACTTCAAGTAAAGCACATTTTTAAGGGCTTCTGAGTCTATTTTGCCATATATACAATGACGTTTTCAATTTTTTTTTCAGATAAATATGTGAAATGTTCAGCACTGTTATTAAACAGAGAAATATGTTTTATTAACAATCATTTGGGTAATAGTTGTAATCAGTTGTAATAGTTTTAAGAGATGTCTTGCAAAACTCTGAACAACATAGATGTGCAACGTATTTTAAATTATATCAGAAGCACCATTTTAGACATTTTAAATTTGACCCTCAGTGGATGCAAGTAACATAGTTGAGTCGCACTGTTTATTTCAAGGCAGGGGTACAAAATTCTATTGAAAGCATAAAGAATTCAATGATAAAACAATACATTCTAGATTCATACAAAATACTCAATTCATTTAAAATTTACTAACAAGGAAAACAAAAACAAACATTACAACATGTTTCCCACAGTGCAAATTTAAAGCTTATTGAGTATTCTGTATGAATTTAGTGTTTCATCATTCAACATTAACTGGTGCTTTTAATTCATGCATTCAGAATTCATGTAGAAAAACTCAGCTCATATAGAACAGTCTAAATATGTATATTACATTGAAAAATTTGACAGTTTAATCAAAAGTGACATATGTCAGACGAAGACGTACAGAACAGTTCTTTACTTGTTTCTCCTAATCACTTTTAGAAATTAAGGTTCTGTACAGGTACGTGTTTCGTTCATCAAGGTACAAACAATGTAAATGTTCCCTCAAAGGTACAGCAGTGGGTTTAAGGTCTGATTGTGTCCTTAAATAAGTTTTTCATAACCGAATGTTTTAAACAGAACAGTAAAATAAAAGCCTGGAGACGAGACGGGGTGTGTGGAGTCAGTACAGCTTAGAACATATCATTTCAGTGGATTATGGTTCAGTTATGTTCCCTGACTAAAGGTACTGAGATGAACTCTTGAGGGTTCCACCCCAGTGACAAGAGATGAACTGCCCCAGTGACAGTTTAGTACCTTTATTTCTGAGAGTGTAGTAAAGAAACAAGTAAAGAACAGTTTTTAAAGTAGTGTTTTTGTAATCAGTTAAAACCAGTATATGGGTCCAGATGAAGCCTAACCTAAAAGTTAAATATAAAAAAAAATAGTACAGTAATTTGAATATTTATATTATGTATATAAATGCCCTTCGTGCAGGATCAGGGTCCTGCCGAGCCCTGTATCTCGGCTGTTTGTCAGCTGCTGACATCTATTAAACTATTGGATTTTTAAAAAATGTGTTGACAGAGAAAGGGAAAGTGTGCCCATATCAAAAATATATGTTGTGACTTACGTAGACGAATGATAATAGTGTGATAATAATGACTGATGATGTAGACTTCTAGGTATCTTACTGACAATTTCCCTATTTTGACCCATAACTTCAGTGGTAGGCCTTCACCTGTTGAGCATGTCATTTTTTTTGAACAGTCAATGTCTAATTTGAATATATAATTAAAATAAAATCAATAAAAAATTTAACCAATAAAAATTTAAGTAACATAGTTGACAGTCAGTTAGTATACTCATTGACAATGTGCTGTTACAGATAAAATATTGAAAATATTGATGCTGGTCACATCATACTGAGACAAACTGTGGTGGAGAATGAGAAAATCAAATTAGAAAATATTTAGTATTTAAACTTTTGAAATAAATAAAAAATAGTTGTTGTTGACTTTAATGATTTTTATTAATTATTTTGAAACCAAAACATCCTCCAGTGAAAAAGGAACAGAGCAAATACTGTCAATTTAGGAACACTGTGTCAAATTTCAAGCTGAATGAAGCTCAGGATGCACGTAATGTTTGAGTGATATTAAAACATGCTTTTGATTAATATGTAAAATATGACATTTTTGAAAAAATAGACTAAATATAATTATCATCAATGGTCACGGAATGTAACCCAAATTATAGAATGACTCACTCAATAATTCAATAACTGCAGAAAATCAGATTTTGTCAGTAATCCAAATCAACATGTTAACATGCACTTGAGTAATTAGATAATGCGGAAACTCCGGGTCTACATGAGTCAGACAGTAATCAGATTTCTGCTTTACAACCAGCCAATAAACTCACAGAAGAAGGCATGATGTAAACGTAACGTAACGAAACTTCATCTCGCAGCTTTTTTTAAAAACATTGAGTCACTTTACCTGAAAATAAGATTTAAACCGTTCATGATGATTGGATTATTGAGTGCATGTAAATATATTTATTGTTTTTCTTTGGTCTGGGCAGAAAGAAATAAACTACAAGTGTAAATGCAACCTCACACACACACACACACACACACACACACACACACACACACAACAGACATGTCCTGCAACAATTTTGCTTCCACTTGGAATCTGTGAACTCTTGCAGTACCACTCTCTGTCATCACTCTCTGTGATGTGTGTGATTGAGTAGATTATCTGTGGTGTGTGTTATTGAGTAGATTATCTGTGGTGTATGTTATTGAGTAGATTATCTGTGGTGTGTGTGTGATTGAGTAGATTATCTGTGGTGTGTGTTATTGAGTAGATTATCTGTGGTGTGTGTGATTGAGTAGATTATCTGTGGTGTGTGTGATTGAGTAGATTATCTGTGGTGTGTGTGATTGAATAGATTATCTGTGGTGTGTGTGATTGAGTAGATTATCTGTGGTGTGTGTGATTGAGTAGATTATCTGTGGTGTGTGTGATTGAATAGATTATCTGTGGTTTGTGTGATTGAGTAGATTATCTGTGGTGTGTGTGATTGAGTAGATTATCTGTGGTGTGTATGTGATTGAGTAGATTATCTGTGGTGTGTGTGATTGAGTAGATTATCTGTGGTGTGTGTGATTGAGTAGATTATCTGTGGTGTGTGATTGAGTAGATTATCTGTGGTGTGTGTGATTGAGTAGATTATCTGTGGTGTGTGATGAGTAGATTATCTGTGGTGTGGTGATTGAGTAGATTATCTGTGGTGTGTGTGATGAGTAGATTATCTGTGGTGTGTGTTATTGAGTAGATTATCTGTGGTGTGTGTTATTGCGTAGATTATCTGTGGTGTGTGTCATTGAGTAGATTATCTGTGGTGTGTGTGATTGAGTAGATTATCTGTGGTGTGTGATGCAGTAGATTATCTGTGGTGTGTGTTATTGAGTAGATTATCTGTGGTGTGTGTGTTATTAAGTAGATTATCTGTGGTGTGTGTGTTATTAAGTAGATTATCTGTGGTGTGTGTGTTATTGAGTAGATTATCTGTGGTGTGTGTTATTGAGTAGATTATCTGTGGTGTGTGTGTTATTGAGTAGATTATCTGTGGTGTGTGTGTTATTAAGTAGATTATCTGTGGTGTGTGTTATTGAGTAGATTATCTGTGGTGTATGTTATTGAGTAGATTATCTGTGGTGTGTGTTATTGAGTAGATTATCTGTGGTGTGTGTGTTATTGAGTAGATTATCTGTGGTGTGTGTGGTTGAGTAGATTATCTGTGGTGTGTGTGATTGAGTAGATTATCTGTGGTGTGTGTGATTGAGTAGATTATCTGTGGTGTGTGTGTTATTGAGTAGATTATCTGTGGTGTGTGTGTTATTGAGTAGATTATCTGTGGTGTGTGTGATTGAGTAGATTATCTGTGGTGTGTGTGTGATTGAGTAGATTATCTGTGGTGTGTGTGTGATTGAGTAGATTATCTGTGGTGTGTGATTGAGTAGATTATCTGTGGTGTGTGTGATTGAGTAGATTATCTGTGGTGTGTGTGATTGAGTAGATTATCTGTGGTGTGTGTGTGATTGAGTAGATTATCTGTGGTGTGTGTGATTGAGTAGATTATCTGTGGTGTGTGTGATTGAGTAGATTATCTGTGGTGTGTGTGTGATTGAGTAGATTATCTGTGGTGTGTGTGATTGAGTAGATTATCTGTGGTGTGTGTGTATTGAGTAGATTATCTGTGGTGTGTGTGATTGAGTAGATTATCTGTGGTGTGTGTGATTGAGTAGATTATCTGTGGTGTGTGTGTGATTGAGTAGATTATCTGTGGTGTGTGTGATTGAGTAGATTATCTGTGGTGTGTGTGATTGAGTAGATTATCTGTGGTGTGTGTGATTGAGTAGATTATCTGTGGTGTGTGATTGAGTAGATTATCTGTGGTGTGTGTATTGAGTAGATTATCTGTGGTGTGTGTTATTGAGTAGATTATCTGTGGTGTGTGTGATTGAGTAGATTATCTGTGGTGTGTGATGCAGTAGATTATCTGTGGTGTGTGTTATTGAGTAGATTATCTGTGGTGTGTGTGTTATTAAGTAGATTATCTGTGGTGTGTGTGTTATTGAGTAGATTATCTGTGGTGTGTGTGTTATTAAGTAGATTATCTGTGGTGTGTGTTATTGAGTAGATTATCTGTGGTGTGTGTGTTATTAAATAGATTATCTGCGGTGTGTGTTATTAGTAGATATCTGTGGTGTGTTATTGAGTAGATTATCTGTGGTGTATGTTATTGAGTAGATTATCTGTGGTGTGTGTGTTATTGAGTAGATTATCTGTGGTGTGTGTGGTTGAGTAGATTATCTGTGGTGTGTGTGATTGAGTAGATTATCTGTGGTGTGTGTGATTGAGTAGATTATCTGTGGTGTGTGTGTTATTGAGTAGATTATCTGTGGTGTGTGTGATTGAGTAGATTATCTGTGGTGTGTGATTGAGTAGATTATCTGTGGTGTGTGTGATTGAGTAGATTATCTGTGGTGTGTGATTGAGTAGATTATCTGTGGTGTGTGTGTGATTGAGTAGATTATCTGTGGTGTGTGTTATTGAGTAGATTATCTGTGGTGTGTGTTATTGAGTAGATTATCTGTGGTGTATGTTATTGAATAGATTATCTGGGGTATGTGATTGAGCAGATTATCTGTGGTGTGTGTGATTGAGTAGATTATCTGTGGTGTGTGTTATTGAGTAGATTATCTGTGGTGTGTGTGATTGAGTAGATTATCTGTGGTGTGTGTTATTGAGTAGATTATCTGTGGTTCTGTTTCTGTTTTACAGAGAGGTTTGAGGTTGTGGGTCCAGATGCTCCTGTTGTAGCTACAGCTGGTTCTGACGTCATTCTGCCGTGTTCTGTTCAACGGGAGAATGAAAAGACTAATATGAATGCTGTCGATTTGAACATTAAGTGGACCAGACCTGACCTGGGAGGCCCTCTAGTGCATTTTTATGCTAATCATAAAGACATGAACACCGGGCAGATTCCTCATTTCAGAGGGAGAACAGCTCTGTTTAAAGAGGAGCTACAGAACGGCAACACCTCACTGAGACTGACTGAAGTTAATCTTCATGATGAGGGAGAGTACAGATGTAATGTTGAGTCCGGATTGTGGTACAATGATTTCACCTTTAAACTTGCAGTTGAAGGTAAAGTTCATTACATTTCCATCACAGTTTTAATTAATGTAAAGTCTGTATGTAAAAGGACATGACGCCACTCTGATGTTTTGACTCTTCTTTAATCCACAGTTATTGGAACTCCTCCAGTGATCAGTGTGAAGAAATATGATAGTAACTCAAAACAGTTCAGTTTACTGTGTGAATCTAAAGGCTGGTGGCCTGAGCCTGATCTACAGTGGCTGAACAGTGAAAGAGACATTCTGACTGTTGGAGTTACAGAGTCACAGAGACACGCTGAGCTGTTCAGTGTGAATCTCCACATCGCTTTACATTACCGTGACATCGACACGTTCTACTGCAGAGTCACACTGAGAGAACACATGATAGAGGAAAAGATCAAACCTACTGCCATTTATGGTAAGTTACTCTATACTGTTGAAAGCAACTTTCTCCAAATTAGCACCTATTAATACAGTATTTACAACACAGCCAAAGAAAAAATACACACACACACACACACACACACACACACACACACACACGAAGTGCAGCAATTAGACATGGCATCGATTCCACAAGTAGACAGAAGACGTCTGAAGGGATGTTGAGCCATCTGGATAGGCACTGACAGCACTGTGGTGTTTGCAAGTGCAGAATATCTGGTGTGAGTGGACCTCTCCACATCCCATAAATACTCGATTGGGGCAAATGTGCCGGCCACATCATTCATTGAAACTCTCCAGAATGCTCCTCAAACCAATTTGTGACAGCTTGGGTCCAATGGCACGGTGCATTATCCTGCTGGAAGATCCCATCATTGTGGGGTACATGAAGTCCACGATGTGATGCAAATAGTCACCGAGCAGTGAAATGGTCAATGACATGTTCAGGCAGACCAGTGAACTCAACCCATGCCATGAGAACACACCCCACACCAGTATGAAACCACCACCAGCCTGCACAGTGCTTTGATGACAACTTGGGTCCATGGCTTTATGGGGTCTGTGCCACACACAAACCCTTACCATCAGCCCGGACCATGCCACATGTTGCCAGCCTTCTAAGGTCCAGTTAGCAACCTCACGAGGCTAGGTGAGGAGCTGTGTCTGGTGTTGTGGTGTTAACAGAGGCACTCTAGTGGGTCTCTTGCTCCCAGATCCCATGGAAGCTAAAGAAGAAACTCTGAATATATGGAATGAAACCTGAGAATATGGAATGAAACTCTGAATATATGGAATAAACCTTGAGAATATGGAATGAAATGTGACGTCGAGGCACTAGCGCCATCTTGTGTTTTGGATGTGTGAGATTCCGTACGGATGCAAGCAGTGCGTCGCTATGACTGAGTTAGCACGAAATCTATTAGCAGTAATCCTGAATGGTGAAGAGATAATTTACACAATGGATGTACGGCCCAAAATAATACCGGTAACCTTATTTAATGGTTTAACCTTATTTAATGGTTTTACCAACGAAGAATGCAGTGAACCTCAGAGGCCAGGCAATTTTTGTTAATCAGGCAAATGTTAACGCACACAGAAACCTCCCTTCCACCTCACAGGAGCCCCCACAACAATCCCAACCTACAGTTTTCGCCCGTTCACTTGAAAAGCCCTAAGGCTATGGTGTGGGGTAGGACTAGCTAGCGAACATATTACAAACGTAGTTGGATGCTAAGTTAGGTGCTCCCCGACTAACCCTAACCCGATTGCATGTAGCGGGGATATCTCTCGACATCCACCTGGACATCCACCCGGACATCCACCCCGACATCGTTTAAAGTGGAATCCCAACACTATACCCCATCCCTACAACCCTTCTTCCAACCCGGGAAGGTGACATTACAGCACTCTAGGCTGCTTGTGTGCTGCTCCTGTGAGGTGGAAGGCTTGTTTCTTCCTAGTATTATTTTGGCTTGTACATCCATTCGCCAGGGTGTCAATTACCTCTTCACTATTCAGGATTACTGCTACTAGATTTTGTGCTGACTCAGGATACTATCACACATCGAAAAAACAAGATGGTGCAAGTGCCTCGATGACATCACATTTCATTCCATATTCTCAAGGTTCATTCCATATATTCAGAGTTTCATTCTATATATTCAGGGTTTTCAGTCTATATTATATATATATGTATAATTTCCTAAACAGCATGCCATGTGCTACACCCAAAACAGTAGAAGCATCTAACAAGACAACAAGACTGTAGTTATGTAACATCAAATTTTCTTTCCTGTTGAATTCCTGTTAAACAACCAAATGAATTTTGTTTTTTTATTCACAGAACACAAATGTTACTGCTGATACAGAAATATATAATTCAGTCTTTTTGATTATTTCAGATCACCTGCCAGTATCATCGGCTGCAATTGCAGGTGGAGTCATTCCAGTGGTTTTAGTCCTCATTGTGATTGCTGTTATTTACAGTTGTAAAGGTAGGCATGAAGAATTTTGTTCTAGCAGAACATAATATTGACACTCTTACATTGCAGGACAACAACTGTAGGGTGTCTTTATGTGACCGGATCAGCAGACATGAAGGAACACCTGGACAGTTTGACTGACCAGCAAAATCACCAGACCTCAGTTTCAGAAACTGATGTAATACTTACCTGACAGGATTGATGCTGTTTTTAAAGCAATAGGACGTGTAACAAAGTATTAGAAAAAAATTATGCCTGCAGTGTTTTAGAGGTGCACCAAGATTTCATTCACAGAAATATGGTGGAAAGTACAACCCCAATTCCAAAAAAGTAGGGATTCTGTGTAAAATGTAAATAAATGTAAATGAAACAGAATGCAATGATTTGCAAATCTCATATTTGACTTATATTTTATTCACAATAGAACATAGAACACATATCAGATATTGAAAGTGAGCCATTTCATAAAAGAAACATTAACTCATTTAGAACTTGATGGCAGCAACACATCTCAAAAATGTTTTGACAGTGCAACAAAAGGCTGTCATATAATAAATACTGCATATAAATATATAAATACTGCATCCATCACAACAGCATGGCTTCACAGAAGAAGAGTCCGGGTGCTGAACTGACCTGCCTGCTGTCCAGATCTTTCACCAATAGAAAACATTTTTCGCATCCTGAAACAAAAAATCTGGCAAAGAAGACCCAGGACTGTTAAACAGCTAGAATCCTACATCACACAGGACTGAGACAACATTCCTCTCCAAAACTCCAGCAATTGGTCTCCTCACTTCTCAGACATTTACAGAAGGAGATGAGGGGATGCTACACAATGGTAGACGTGGCCCTGTCCCAACTTTTCTGGGATGCATTGCTGCCATCAAGTTCTAAATGAGTTAATGTTTTTCATTAAATGGTAAAATGTCTCACTTTCAACATCTGATATGTATGAATAAAATATGGGTCTATGAGATTTGCAAATCATTGCATTCTGTTTTAATTCACATTTATTTACATTTTACACAGCATCCCAACTTTTTGGAATTTGGGTTGTAGCACTTCTAGTTTTTGGACAAAAGAGAAAGATGTTTTAAAAATAAAAGATTAGATAGGTCTTTAAAGAAATGTCAAAATTAGTGACAGTGCAAATTATAACTAAAATGTTTGGAAATGTATTGTCTTGGAAGACCAGCCATTCTCTGATGTTGAGGATGATTTTATGGATACTGTAGCCTACATACTGTAGTAATTTGAGTAAGTTTATCTTATGTAAATTATGTTTTTAAATGTGAAGCACCTTGTGAAACTAGCTTGTAACTCACTGTTAACAGGCTGAACATGCTAGAAAAAGGGGGTGATATCAAGTGGCTTGTCTGGGGCTGAGGTGGCACACGCCCACACAGGAATTTGAAGCTGGTAGTTGATAATTGATTGGTAACTGATATTAGACTGTCAGTCCTGGACAGAGCTGGGCATTCTTTTTTTTCTTTTTTTTTTAAATAAGTTTCCTCTCCTTTTTAGCACACTTTTAGCAACAACACATTGACCAGTACAGCAGGAACAAAAAGGTACTCTCACTGTAAGGAGACTAAATTAAAATGGAATTTTGTGGTTTAACTTAATAATTGTTTCATTTACACCAGTAACAGCATCAGCACTACTTTTCTGGAGTTGGTCAAACACTGCAGTCAGAAAAAAAGCAGTTGGAGACACGAGCTGACTAGTCAAACAAAACACAAAGTACTCATCATGACAGAAAAAATCTTGCTTTGCAGACAGTGTGTATATATGTTGACACCTGTCCATCACACCTATATGACCTTCCTGGATATCCTATTCCAAAACCATGAGCATTAATATGAAGTTGCCCCCACTCTGCAGCTATAACAGCCTCAACCTTCCACTTTCCATCTGTGGGAATTTGTGCCCATTCAGACAAAAGAGCATTTGTGAGGTAAGACACTGATGTTGGATGAGAGGGTCTGGCTCACTATCAACGCTCCACTTCATCCCAAAGATGTTCAGTGGGGTTGAGGTCAGGGCTCTGTGCAGGCCACTGGAGTTCCTCCACATCAAACTCATCAAACCCTGGAGCTCACTTTGTGCACAGAAGCTCAGTCATGCTGGAGCAGGAAAAGGTCTTCCCCAAATTGTTCCCACAAAGTTGGGGGCACATAATTGTATAAAATGTCTTGTTTTGCTGTAGCATTAACATCACCCTTCACTGGAACTAAGGGGCCCAAACACTGAAAAACAGCCCAGCCACCAAACTTTACTGTTGGCACTATGCATTCTGGTAGGTAACGTTCTCCTAGCAAACACAGATTCATCCATCAGACTGCCAGATAGTGAAGCATGAGTCATTACTCCAGACAACACGTTTCCACTGCTCCAGAGTCCAGTGGCAGACTGTCAGATGCAGGTTTAATAACCTTAATAAGCATAAAGCACCAGAGTGCAGTGATATACAGTAGATATTTCTATAAATAATCTGTATTTACTAAAAATACCAAATTGCTATGTGACTGACAAGCAGTACTTTGTTAACCATTGATATGCACTGTTAACCATTTCAGTGCCATGTTATGTTGAAATTTTAGAGGGGCGTTTGCTCAGGAACATGCTAAAAATCATATTTAATTATAAAATGTAAATATTGTTTTTAAAGGGCGACTTTGAGAAGAATGATTTTCAGACATACTAACTAGGACTCCAAGTCTGCAAAATGTTTTATTATAAATACAAATCATTCTCACGCTTCCATGTTCATTAGTGCTGAAGAGTAAATAGTAGCATTAAATGGCTTCTGGTCACTCTGTAAACATTGGCTGATACTGCCTGAAATCACTGCTGCGTTCCTAAAGGCACCAATCATTCAACCAAACAGCCTCACCTGAGTTTCCACTCGATCAAGTTTAAAAATGTTCAACTTCAGCTGAAAAGTTCCGCTCATTATGTGTCACTTTTAACAGGGTAACTGGACAGGAGAGCGAGTGTGGGCTGTACAGCAGGACAGATTCACCCACATTTGTGATTAAAATGCTCCTCAGCTCCAAGATAAATATTTATTCACTGGTGTATTTACAGTCTTGGAGATAATCATCACAGAGGTTTGATTAAAAACCCTGAGAAACAGACTCCTCTCCACTGTAGCTCGTGATAAGTTTACTGTAAAGCAGAAATACGATGCTGTGTCTGAGCTGGTTGTGGCACTGGTTCAAGGCACTTTCTAATGTTTACGTGGGCTGAGTAGGAAGAATTAAACCTGGTAGACTTTTTCTCTAAAATAAAGTGCAGTAAGTACAGATCTGTTTAGGGATGTGTGATGTGGTGTTGAACATAAAGACCCGCTCTGCTCCTTTTCCACTTTGCAGTCTTGGGCAAATTCCTCACGGTTGCTATTCACACATCAACAACCATTCTGTTTCATATTCTAGTGCACTTATTGGTGATCTAATAGTGCTTGGTAACTTTTCTTCATCTCAAAGAGGAAAGGATTTGCTTCAGCTGCAAGTGGACACAGGTTCCTGCACTGGGATTAATACTATTTATAGCAACTCTACCAGCTTTTAAAACTGTAAAACAGGAAAAACCCAATCCATTATTTACTTGAGTATATTTCACATTACAACCTCAAACACAAGGCTTTATCACTATTACCAATGTGTTGATGCTGATTGCATGATGACTGGATGTAAGTTATCCACCCAGAAGTACACATTTACAAACATTGTGATTTGATCTAAAATGCCTCACTCAAATTACCATACTCTCCTATTTACTTTACACATAATAAACAATATAAATTAAACTATTGATTGAGAGGTAAAAAGCAAGATGTATAGATATGTGCAGTGCTTGCATTACAAGGAAGCCACAGATTTGTGTGAATTAAAAATGAAATCACCCTTAAAAAACCAAGCTCAAATGGACTCAGCTCTAAAGAGTCCAAAGGTCCTGCCTTTTTATGTTTTGGATCTTCTCCAACAAGGCATGAGTCACCTAGATGAACAGGCGCGTATGAAGTTCTCCTGTGAGAACTTGCTTGTTTCTGTCCTGTGTGTGTTTTTTCTGCAGGCAGGAAGATATTAGCTTTTCTCATGCTAAATACACATTTATAAATGCACTTTGCGTATTGTTTTTGTTTGGGAAAACTCTAATCCACAGCCCAAAGTTAAAGTGAAAGAGACATTGAAAAAGATGGAAATTCTTGAAGTCAGGGCTACTAAAACCTGCAGGTCAGTGGTGATCTTTCAAGTATTCAAAAATACTTCTGCCCACATGATAAATCGACTGCTTTTGCAGTGCAAAATGCAGTAGTGCCACCGTGAGTGTTTAGTAAATCTGGCTGTAAGTGTTAAGTTAATACACACAAATTAGGCATCCCAAAAAATGCTTAAAAAATGTACACATTTATCACCCCTGGGACGATGGGACAACAATAGTCTGGAGCCTCAGAGAGATACACTGACAAGCCAAAGGTGATGGGATAGCAGTATGTAAATTGATTATGAAGTGGTGTCACCTCAGGGGATGGCTTGGGAATGCCCAACACTGTATAAGTTGGGAGGTGTTATCTTATGAGTGAGGTTGGACACTGGCCAGTGTTCTCATGGCAAGGTGACATGAATTCGGTTCGGAGTCTGAATGAGGCATGATGCAGGAGGTTTCACACGCATATCCCACAGGTCAGTGCAGCGTTCTTTGGCTTCCATGGGATCTGGGAGCAGAATAGCCCAGAATACCCACCAGAGTGCTTCTGTCAACACCATGACACCAGACACAGCACCTCACCCGGGCTCGTGCGGTTGCTACCTGGACCCTAGAGGACTGGCAACATGTGGCATGGTCTGATAAGTAATGGTGCCAATTATTTTGGGCTGATGATGGTGTTCATGTGTTGTGCAGACCCCAAGAAGCCATGGACCCCAGTTGTCAACAAGGCACTGTGCAGGATGGTGGTGGTTCCATATTGTGGGGTGTGTTCTCATGGCATGGGTTGGGTTCACTGGTCTGCCTAAACATGTCATTGACCATTTCACTGCTTGGTGACCATTTGCACCCCACAATGATGGGATATTCCAGCAGATAATGCACCATGTCATCGGGCCCAAGTTGTCCAGAATGACGTCGCCTGCATGTTTGCCCCAATGGAGAATTTATGGGATGTGTTGGAGAGGTCTGTTCGCACCAGAGATCCCTCCGACTTCTTCTGTCCACTTGTGGAATCGATGCCACATCCCACATTTACCAGGCTAGAGGGGGTTTTACACGATACTAATTCCTGTCCCAGGACTTTGGCTTGTCAGTGTATGATAAAGGTTGCTAGTGTGTTTTAGACGAGAAATGTGACACTGTAGTAAGGTGTCCACAGAGCAAATCCAGAAACGATTAAACATACATAGGCTTACATTGGTGAAATTGTGGGATATAAACAGTAATAATATAATAAACACCTGTATTTAAATGATTCAGCTCTAACCTTCACAATGAACACATTTGACTGTGTAATTCTGTTAATATTTAGTTGGATTTAATTATTATCTACTTTTTAAAAAAAAAAATTTACATTTGTTTTGATTCATGTTGTCAGCTAGTTTGATGGGAAGTCAATGCTATAATCTGATCATTGTTGATTAATCAGGCTAAAGCAGAGATAATGATTGTACTTATAGTATTTTCTAGTAGCAGGTAGCTTTCTGCTAGCAGCAAACATGTGCTGGAATATGTTCCTATGTTTGTGTGAAACTCAGTAACTGCACTTCAAATAAGCATGACAGTACATGCTTCATACAACCATTTAAAGGCCACACTGATAACACAACAAAGCTTTTCAGTGTGATTACCACCTCAGATCTAAAATGCATTTCATTTCGCTTTGCTCTCGAAGAAAAAATATATGCCTTGATGCAGCTTCCACAAGACCCTCAGTTTGATAACCACTACAAAAAAATTTAGTTTACAGTGTCCTATAGTAGCAGTGATACTATGGGTATTTTGGAGATAAATGTAGGGAGGACTGTTAAGAGGAGTTGAAGTATATGAATATGACTTGGTTTAAATGAACGCAGCCAAAATGCTTCAAATAACATTAGAAAAACAGTAACTACAAAACAGTTATCCATTTGTGAGCGTAGCACAGTCATCAAACAGTCATTTACACTGAAGCCTTAAATCCCAGAAATCAACAGCAAATTAAGATTGTGTTGGTCATTTTTGCTCCTGTAGTTAAAACAGGATGAGAGTCCTGAGGCTGTTTCTGGTTTAGATGTGATATTTAGTTGGTTAAATATCAAATTTTCATTTTACTTTAGTGGGCCAAGCCATGGGGCTTATTGTCCTTACAGTGGAAGTACCTTTTTATTCCTGCTGTCAGTCTGATTGTTGCCAAGCAGCAGCCTAGTGTACTAAAATCCTCCCACAGCGTTTTGCTTTCACAAAGCAGAGTTTGAAGCTAAATGTGTGCTGAGAACAGAGATGAAAAACTAGTAGAGTACAACCACTTTCTCTTTCAAAAAATGCAACAGATGATGCACAACTCCAGGACTGACCTCCTTATAATCTATCAACTACCAGCTTCAGTTGGGGTGGCACCCCTGGTGGCCAGTCAGATTCTTGTGTGGGCGTGTGGCACCTCAGCTTCCAGAAACGCCACAGAATGGCGTCCTCATATGGAGCGTCTTTAGCCTGTCAACAGTGAGTCACAAGCCAGTTCCATGAAGTGCTTCACATCTAAAAAGCATTTGAGAACTATACTCAGAGCTGGTCAGCAGTGTGAAAAACAGCAATGCAAAGTTCTTGTAGAATCAAATTACCTTCATAAAATTACAAGGTCTATCATGTAAGATTTATCATTTTATTCACACGTTGTTCCTTTATTGTTTCTGCATCTTTCACATGGATTAAAATAGCATTTTTGAGAGCAGTGTATAAGGTCAATCTGCACTTCTTTTTTAGCCATAATGAAACTTCTTGTTCTTCTTCAATGCATTTCACACACATAGTATGAGAATATAACCAATAAGCTGATTATACAAACTACTGCTACACGTATAACAGACCAGACACCTGCTGATTTTCTCTTCATATGTGCATGTTTTTTATTGTTATACTTGTCTGTTTACAGCAATAATAGAAAAAAGAAACCCAGCAGTGGAAGAACTGAAAAGAGGTAAACTGGATAATTTTTTTTTTTTTACTTTAACTTAACTAGAGAATCTGAAGATTTTCTGATGCCATATATTTCACTGAGAGCAGGGTAGAGCTGAAGGAGAACCACACACGTAAAGCAGCAGAGGATCTGTGAAAAGAGGCAGCAACTCTAAAACATTTCCGTCTGCTTCAGCAACAAGGAAAACTGCTCTCCACTGAATCAATTGTGAATTAACATGCATCCATGACATCTTCCAGCATGGCTTAATGACATGTTAATGATACACAAAAACTACTAAAATGCTAACAGGTCATTAAGCTTACATCCACACATTAAACTTTAACTTTATGTAACTTTGAGGATTCTGATAGATTTTATCTATCACAGTGGACATCCAGTTACACCTAATAATTGCCAGAAACCTGCTGTCCATGGCTTTAATCTTCACAAAAATACATGTTTTTATCTTGTACAAACTCAATTCCAAAAAAGTTGTGACAGTAGGAAAAATAAAAATAAAAAACAGACAGCAATGTTTTGCAAATCCTTTTTGATCTGTATTCAAATGAAAACAGTACAAAGATAACAATATTTAATGTTTCAACTAAATGTATTATTTTTTGTACAGTGGGGAAAATAAATATTCGTTGTCACGTTTTTTAATTAAAAATATTTCCAATGCAGCTACTCACATGAAATTTAGATCAGAAATTGGTTTTAACACACTTAAAGTACACAGCTAAAGAAATGATGACAATCCAATCCATAATTATCAGGATAAGCTTCCTCCACCAGAGGAAAGTCCTTTTACCAGACTTTCTTTTCCTGGCATACTTACCTGAGTGACTAGCATGTTTCACTTAGCCACTGAAATATCTGCCTCAGTTACTAGAATATTTCACTCAACCACTGACATATTTATCCCTGTTATTAGCATCTTTCAATCAACCGCTGGCATATTTACGTGAGTTACTAGCATATTTAACCCAGTTACTGGCCTATTTCACTGCAGGAAGCTTTGCGGAAAACACTGCTAACCTAACAGTGAACTTTTAGCCCAGTAGCAGGTGATGAATGTGGTGTAAACATATGTTAAAAGTGACATACAAATTGGGATTAATAAATAAATGTGAAAATGCTCTTATACTGAAAAGTATGCCAATGCTTGCTTCATAGTTCCAAAACTTATATTCAATCTAACATCCTTAATCACTAAGTCAACCTGAAATCAAAATAGGCCTTTTTTACCTTATTAGTTCATGTTCTTTTAAATGTCCTATTAATACATGCCATATTGAGTCAAATAATACAAAAACAAAAACAAAACTAAATTCTTGTTACTCTGGAATTGTCAGGATAAATCACCATGTATCAGTGGAAAAAATATATATATTTAAGTAGTAAAACATGAATATTACATCAATTGTACTTTAATATGAGCAATTCCTTCCACTAAAAAAGTAGCCTCGGTTTGAGTTATGGACAGCATAGTAAAGTCGGTTATATATTGGACATTTGCTGGATATTCATTGTTCTCCCCTTAATTTCTCATTAAATAAAGCATCCAAAAATGATCAACCTACATTTTCTCACTTATGAAAGACTATTACTTTATATATTACTAAGCCCTGTCATTACACTTTGCTGAACACAGTGTTTTGGAAACCCATAAAATGCTTTGGTCAATAAGGGAGCATCTAAATGTGCTAGAAAAGGTATTTCCAGTGTATTTAGCTAAAAGAAGACAAAATCACATATCTTAGTAAATCATTACTAAAGGGAGTGGCTAACCTTAAGCCAATTACAAATCCCAGTTAAATGAAGTCACTTGTTTTACTACAAGTGATATAATGTGATTTTGCCTTTTTTCAGCTAAAAACATGGGGAAATAATTTAGAATTACTGTTTAATGACTAAACCTTTGGTGATCTGCGCTTCTTAAATACTTTATACAGCATGTTTCAGAATGTTTGGATGTAGTTGGTTCTCTGCATTTCAGGAGTGAGAAAATATGGGTTTGATCATTTTTTGACATTTATTTAATGAGAAATCATGGAGACAAAGTTAAATATCTTGAAAAAAGTGATTCTGTTTTTGTATGTGGTGAAGTAGAATGTATTACTTGTTAGCTGCAAAGCAGTTGTTACTTAGCAACCTTTGCGTAGTATCGGGTTTTCCATCCATTTTTTGTGAATTTTGAAAATGCCCAAAATCAAAATACAAAAAGTTAGAATACTGCTAAAGCTAATGTTTTAAGCTGTAAGTGAGAAAATATAGGCCCTATAGATGGTCTAGTCATGGCAGCATTCTGAAACGCCTGATCCAAAGCTTTTTGAAAAATGGCTCTGTACAGTGTGCTCCCAGAACTGTCTGGTGCGTTTGCATTCCCAGATGCAAGAGGACTTCACTGGGGTGACACAGAGATTGCAGCCCTCACTATGTGGGCCACTGCTCGGCAATAAAAAGATGGCAAATAACTGTAAAGAACCAAGTTAAACTGGCAAAAACCATGTTAAATCCCCCCCCCACCTTGCTCATTTTGATGCAGACTGTAATCTTTGTAGCTACGTCATCTAAAGTTTCTTCACATAACTGTAGTGGATGGAGACATAACTTTTTCTGCTGAAATTCATAAATGTGCATAACATTTGCAAAACATGTGAAAGGAAACTTGCCTAGAAATACAGTGAAAATAACTGTTGTATAATAACCAACAATATATCATGCTTACCCTCCACTTCCCACCATACTCCACCTTCCATGACTAGAAATAATCAGTCATCATTTTTATCATCATTTTCAAAATTTCTGTATGACCTAGTGTTTGAGACAAAAAACATTCAGACTGATTTGATGTGAAATAGTTTATTTAAAGAACATTTCTTTACAGTGGTGCTGATAGGAACCAGGGGTCGCCATGACTACAACACAAATATAGACATTTTGTTTACTATCCAGAACCACCAGTGAACCTACAGGAGTCTTCTGAGATTATATGGAATGTTGATGATGGAAAATAGTGGAAAATCTGAACAAATAACCTTTTTCAGGGGGACTGTTTTGCTTTACAACACCATATACCCATCCAGAATGAATGGATTGGAAAATATAAACAGTGCCCTCCACAAATATTGGCACCCCTGGTAAGCATGAGCAAAACAGGCTGCAAAAAACATTCTTTATTGCTGATCCATTTGATCGTTTGTTTGAAATATTGTTTGAATTATTTGTTCATATCTATTCATATTTCTTCTCATATCATATTTTCTCAAATCTATGTGTGCCACAATTATTGGCACCCCTTCGTTTAATACTTTCCCAAAGCTTTCCTTTGCAAAGATAACTGCTCTGAGTCTCTCCTATGATGCTTAAGACTGGAGAACACATGGTAAAAGATTCTTCCATAGAAACCCATTCCAGATCCTTTAGATTCTGAGGTCCAAACTGGTCCAAAACTCTCCTCTTCAGCTCCTCACACAGGTTTTCTATGGAGTTTAGGTCAAGGGACTGGGGTGGTCATGGTAAAACCTTAATTCAGTTGTCAGTGAACCATTTTTGTGGTGATTGAGGTCTGCTGGAAGATCCAAACTATGGCCCAGTTTGAGCTTCCTGGCTGAGACAGTCAGATTTTGATTTTATTTCTGGCAGTACTTGGGAAAAAAAAAATTATATATATATATATATATAATAAGCTGTTTTTTGTTGTTTACCCCATCAGTGATATGTGCTTTGCTGAAGTCAGAAAAAAAGCAGTGTGATGACTCAGCAGTGCAGATGGAGAAGTCAGAAAAGAAGCAGCATGATGACTCCGCAAAATGCATTCGTTTGCTGAACCTCCTAAGAAATTACCCACTAAAGGATTTAAAGAAAAAGCTGCAGGAAAAGGTGGAATCTCGCTCTGCAGTTATGTGAGTATTTTCCATATGTGTTTTTTTCTTTTTTGTGGGCCTTAATCCAAGTCAAGTGTGTACATTTCCAGTGCATAGTAATTTTATCACCCTTCAAACCTCTCAGAGCGTTGTGCTTACATTTAACAGCCATTAGCTCATCTAAGCAGCAGACTGAGGGTCTGAAACTAAAGACAGACGATTCTTACAAGACTATGAAACAAGACTACAAGTCTAAACTCTCCTGCTTGTAATTGTACAGTCACTGCGACTGTTTCAGTATTTTAAGTGGACTCCGCTGAGTCATGGTTGTCTGTGCATACGTAAACATGTCAGCTGAACTCAAACTCTCTTAACAGCCCCACAAATGACCTGAACTCAGACTACTTCCTGAGACTCCTGTGGCTCACTTTTAAAGGAGGTGTGGTGTAAACATGATCTCATTAATGCTAAAGAGGACCAGAAAAAGAACAGAGTCCCTTTTAAAGTTTGTGTACATTATAAACACATTAAAGGAAGACCAAAAGACCCAGAAAAATCTCTGAAAAAACTGCTCATAAACTGCTTAGCAAAACCCCCACATTACTGCCAGTGATCTACAGATGATTTGGCTGACACAGAAATAGTGATGCATCGACCCACTGTACAGTGTTGGTCATCAGAAGGTAATCTTAACTCTGATCTCATCATAAAAGTCAACATCTGAATTATGCAAAACAACATCTAGTTGAACCTGGAGCATTTTGGAATTAAGTGTTGTGGACTGATGAAACAAAAATGAACTCAAAAAAGGTGCAGTGCTCAAAATTAGGTTTGGGACACATTATTATAATTTATTTATATCCACCAAGAAAATTGTAACAATAGCAATACCAATCAGGTTTACTAGATTTTTTAGTAAGGTAGTAAAAATACTCATCACATTTAACATTACATGACTTAACATTAGCAGCACAAACATTAGTGTCTACTTAGTTTATATTGATATTGAAACTTGAAGTATTTCTGTTGAAATGTTATCTATTCCTGTGGCTTTCTTCTTGGCAATGATCTTAGGGACTGTCTTAGGTTCTTCTGTGTATTCCTTCCATCTATTTTTATTTTTGTTTCTTCTGTTATGATTTGTTCTTCAACATCTTTCAGCATATATACTTGTGGCTGAAATTTATTTTTAGTCTCCTGTATCTGAAAAGCTGTACTTGTTTTTCTGCGTTTGTTCCCATTTTCAATATCTTTACAGATGTTGTTGTAGTATTGGTTATTGTCCTTCCTGGCAGCTCTCTTGAATTCACAGTTTCATTTTCTTAAAAAATCTTTCATCTTCATTTTATCTTCTTTTTTGCAATCTCCACTGTAACATCAGTCATCAGTTTTGATTTCTCTCTGCTTTTGATTCTTCCCAGTTGTTTCTCTGATTCTTCTTTGATTACCCCAGTACATGTAGAGTTCCAGTACATCCTTTTTGCCTTGTCTTGTCTATTTGATCACAATTTTTCAATTTCTTGTGTAAACCTAGATGACCGTAATGTTAAATGGTTGTACACAAAATCGGACTGACACTAGTAGATCATTCACAGCATTGTATCCAATACCAGTCTTGTTGACATCCTTGCTGACAATGAAAGCCACTCCATTACTTCTTTGTTGTTCATGGCCCGTGTAGTAGATGGCATGTTCCCCTAATTGAAAGTGTCCTAATCCAGTCCATTTTAGCTCATTGATCCAAAGCATGTTGATGTGTAGATGATCTATTTCCATCTTCACTACTTTCAGCTTGCCATAATTAATACTTTATACATACCAGGTTCTGACTGTGATTTTGTATTTACTCTCTTTTTTAAATTTTGCATTATTTTTTTAAATTTTTCACTTTTCTCACGTCAGCAACTAGATGAAGGCTTTGACCTTGCCGTGTCATACACGTAAACTGTATTTATAGGAATCCAATCGTCAGTTCTTGCTCAGTAACAAGTTGTGTGTCTTTTGACATGAGGGTCCCATCTTCTGGCACTCTACAGTCTTTCTGTTGTGCCTTTCTATTTGGTTCTTGGTAAAGTACAGAAGTGATTTACCATTGCCTTCTTCCACACAGTTGATGTCTTGGAAATCGATGTCACCTCTGTGATCATCCACCGATGACATCATCTTATAGTGCTGCTGCAAAATATCGGTGGTAGGCTTAGTCCGGCAGCTCTGCTAAGAAATTTCTGCCACGGGAGACCATGAAAAGAGTTAAAACCTCAGGCAGCATTTAGCTGTACATGAAATTGGATTGACATAAGTCAGTCAATCATTCACAGCACTAGATCCAATAACAGTCTTGTTGACATCCTTGTTGACAATGAAACATTTTCTGACTGCAGATCTGGAGAAGCTCATCCATCCCTTTATTTCTAGCAGGACTGATCACTGAAATGGTCACCTAACTGAACTCCCAACAGAGACAAACAGCTTCAGATGATTCAAAATGCAACTGCCAGAGTTTCACTAGGAGTAAAAGAAGGGAACACATCACCCCCATTCCTAAATCCTTACATTGGCTAATAGACTTTAAGATACTATTACTGGTCTATAAATCACTTAATGGTAAGGACCAGTGTATTTAACTGATCTGCAGCAATATGAGCTGAGCAGAACTCTCAGATCATTAGGAACTGGTCAGTTAGTCCTGCTGAAGGTAAAGACTAAACATGGAGAAGCAGCGTTTAGCTACTATGCTGCTCTTAAATCGAACCAGTTGACAGAAAGCATTAGAAGAGCCCCAACACTGGACACTTTAAATCAGCCTGAAAACGTTCCTGTTTGAGCAACTTTCAAATGAGTTTAAAACACTGTTAGCTCTACTGAGCTTCTCTCCTGTAATGCCACTCTATTATCCTAATATAATTTTTAATTTGATTTTTAATTTAATGATTAATTTCTTCTCTTTCAAAATCTTTTTTTAATCTTGTTTTAGTCCATTTAATTTCCATTCTTCCTTACTTTGTTAATTTATAAATGTTATATTGAATTATCTTTGTTTTTCCTCATTTGCAAAGCACTTATGAATGATCACAGTGTATGAAAGATGCTAGATAAATAAGCTTGCCTTGCCTAATGATTGGACAGTCGCAATAATGGTATGGTCTGCCCCACTGCCACAGCACAGGCCAACATGAACATTCTCCCCCTGCTAGGGCCAACATGAACATGATCCCCCCTTCAGGAGCACATGAACATTACCATTTCTCCCCATCACAGTCCAACATGAACATTATCCCACCTTTGGAACAGGCCAACATGAATATTACCTTGAACAAGAACATTATCAGCACTTTGGCACAGGCCAATATAAACATTATCCCCCCTCAACACAGTCCAACATGAACACTATAAACATTATATGTCTAGAGTGACTTGGACAGATCTTCTGGTGAAGCTTAAACAGACTATATTAAATACTAAGAACATCCGAATATGACAGAATTATGGGAATAAAAAAACATAAATAACATTTCTTATTTTAAATATAAATACAGAAACCTGAACCTGCATGAGAGAAATAATTTGGCCAGAAGATTCTATTTATAGACTACTCAAATTACTTACACTAATAAAGTCATTTAATTTCAATGTTTTCATTTTATTTACACTGAGAGTCAGGCACAGTTATAAAGCCCTAAGGCAATAACGTTAGATGGCAGTGTTTCATATAGAAATCTATTTATTTGCTTACCATTTTTACCATGGTATGTTAGTGCTAAGCTAGCAGGGTTAGGTCGACGCCATACTGGATTTTGATGTCAGCTCTAGTTTAAATACAGATATTTTAAGCTCATAACAGGCACGCAAGTTACATTCTCTACTTTGTATTTTTTTTTTTAAGTACTTTCTGCATTAGCTGGTTAGCCATTTAGCACGTTAGTTTTCTGCTAACCTGCTCAGCCTGCACTAGTGAGGTCAGAATATCTTGAGTTACAAAGGGAATATAAAAAGTACATCAGTTAAATAGAGTCTCTTAGCAGACACAAGTGATGTTCAGCTGGCAGTTATTCATCTGGCAGGATTTTGTTGGCTCAGAGTTCAACAGTAACAACTGGGACTTCTTCAAGCAGTGATGTGAAACTCTGCATTTTCTTAAGAGGTTTATGATTGTAAGGTTCCTGTTCTTGTCATACTTTCATCTTTAGTGACCACTGTAAAATGTATGTTGTTCCAGAAATGTCTCAGAAGCATTTAATGGAACATAAAACAATAACTTAAAGTAAGCACACTTGTTTTTGACTTAGCTAAATCATTAATGAATGTCACTTCTGTTCCCTAACTGGATATTTTGGCCATAATCTTGAAATACACTTGAAATGGTGTTGTGACCATGAGTGCAGTGCCCAGTATTTTTCAGCATTTGGAGGACTTTTAGATCCTCCCAACTTTATTTTTTGAAATAAAGTGAATGGAAACGTTCTTGTAAAATTGTAAATTGCTGCCACACTGTGTGTATTTGATCATTTTTACCAATTCCTAATAATTTCATTCCTGTTTTGGAGTTTGCTTCAACCTCACATGCTTTTATTCATGATGTTCTGATTTAAAAAATAAACTAATTAATATTAAAACATCAATGTAAAGGTAAAAGTACCCATTTAGAAAATATCACTTTTGTCAAGTTTAGTATATCACATGATCTTCTTCTTTACATGAGTGTAAATATAAGGAGGGCAGTCATGATTCTGCCCTGTGATTCATCTCTCCTTTAATGCAGAGTGGGTTTGTGCACTGCTGTTTTGTAGTTTCATTTGTGCAGTAGTTGATATTTTAACCTGCTGTGTGTGTTTTAAAACAATATATTTATAGTATATTTTAGTTTTAGTTTAGTATATATTTGCGAATGCAGACCACACCTTGGTAAGTGAGATAATGAGAGGAGGGGAACTCTGGGGCATTTTGGGCTGGAGTTCAGTACAGCTTCTGTGGATCACAAGCAGGCCGACCCCCCTATTAAAGATCAAGTGCAGGCATGGACAAGGGGGAGGAGGAGGGGTGCGAAATTTCATCACGAGTAGGAGGAGTGAAGGACTGGTATTTGTAGGAAGCTGGAATTGGGAAGGAGTTTAGGCATGGTCTTTGCTCAAACTTCAGTTATGTCATAACTCATATATATATATATATATATATATATATGAGTTATGTGTGTGTGTGTGTGTGGTGTGTAAAGAGTGTTCTAATGTATCATCATTTCTCTCAAAGGCTCACTGGTCTCGGTCTCACAGAGAAAAGCTGTGCAGTTCTTGCATCAGCTCTCAGCTCAGAGAAGTCCTCAGTGAAAGAACTGGACTTGAGTAAGAATAAATCGCTGCAGGATTCAGGAGTGAAGAAGCTCTGTGAAGCACTGAAGAGTCCAAACTGTAAACTGGAGACACTGAAGTAAGATCACTCTCTCACTACACACTCATACACTCTCTCATCTCTCTCTCTCTCTCTCTGTCACACACACACACACACACACACACACGCACGCTAGTTCCTTGTTAAAGGGTAAAATCTCTTTTGGCAACTAGGACAATCAAGCTCTTAAAGCTAGTACAGACTGCTAATGTGACACCTTTTTAACGTTGCCAAACCATGAGGGAGGCTCATAGTTTTTCCATGTTTAAATAAATAAATGAAGAAAGGATCCCAATTTGATTTGTCACATTAAGTGCCATGATCAAGAGTAAGTGGTATTATTTAAGTGTTAAGATGAGCCAAGATTGAGGAGTGATAAGTTCATCATCAGCCCCACAACAAGATCAAAGGAACTATTACTCGTATTTTGTGCTTTTGTCTCATTGCATATGCACTTATAGGAGTTTTCCTCTCAAAATACAGAATACATTGCTGCTGTTCAAAGAAAAACATGCATCTCCAATATAACTAACTTGACAGAAATTGGTGTTTTTTGTTGGACAGTGATCATACCAAAGTCTTTTTTCCACCATAGACTGACTAATTAACCCTAACTTGTTTGCTAGTGTGTCTCATGGTGATTTATCTTCTAAGATTTGCAAAGAGTTTGTGATTTATTTATTTTTTTAATAAAAAGCATTGATAAGACAGCTCAGCTGACTGAAACAAGCTCCTATAACCTTCCTGATAAGCGACCTACATCAGTAATGACATCTTTCTCTGTTATTCATTATCAAGAGCTCAAAACTGTTATAAACAAGTTAAGTTCATCACCTGTGATCTTGATCCTGTTCCTGCTTCACTTCTTAAGATGGTTTTTCATTGTGTTCAAAATGATGTTTTACCTATTGTAAACTGTTCTCTGTAAACAGGTGCTTTTCCAGATGCTTTTAAAGCTGCTTTGGTGAAGCTCCTAACAAAAAGAAGTAAAAAAGAGTAGCATGGTCCCTTCTGTACTAAATAAATTTAGACCAATTTAAAACCTTCCTTTAAAAAGTTGTTTTTAAACAAATAAATGTATATCTAATAGCAAACAAGTTATATGAGAAGTTTCAATCAGGTTTTCATTCTAACTTTAGTACTGAGACAGCATTGGTTCATGTTGTCATTGACCTCCAAATATCACTGAGGTTTGGCTTTTTCTATCCCCGAGTGACGAAGAGAAACTTGTTCATGTGTTTGTTCCAGCAGTGTTGATCACTGTAATGATCTTATTGCTGCAGAAAACAATTCATCCTCTACAATTCCTACAGAACACAGCTGCATGGATCCTCACAACACCAACACAGAGAGCTATATCACCCCTGTTTTGAAAGAGCTGCACTAAATGCCTGGATCTTTCAGGATAGATTTTAAAAATTCTGCTGCTAGTTTTTAAAGCTCAAAATGACCTGAATCACCCACTTACATCGCAGAATGTCTGTCTGTTATTCTGCTTTTTTTAAACTGTAGAATCACAATTCCACCTTTTAAAATGTTAAAAATGTATCTTTTTAACTTAGTGTTTAATTAAAATTCTATGTCTCTTTGGTCTTTTTAATTTCATCTGTGTCATTGAATTATATGATTTTAAATGAATACTCATGGTTTCTTCTATTACTCTTAAGCTTTATCACCTGTCTGTAAAGCACTTTGAGCTGCCGTCAGTATGAAAAATGCCCTGTAAATAAACATTATTATTATTATTTTTATTATTATTATTATTATTATTATTATTATTATTATTATTAAGTGACAAATAGGAGCACTTTGTACATTTGTATTGGTATGTAGTATGCACTGTTGTAGAAACAGAATTGTTATTACGCATAATTCTACTCTCGCGGAAAAAAAAAAGTGTCAATCCAGCTTTCTCATTTTAATTTGTCCCAAAAGTTTGCTTGAAACTGAAAGAGGCCCACAGATATACATACACTATATGGGCAAAAGTATTGGGAGAATTGCACATCACACCTACAGGAGCTTTTTTGATCCCAGTCTAAATCCATAGGCATTAATATGGAGCTGGTCCCCCTTTGCAGCTCTAACAGCTTCCACTCTTCTGGGAAACTTTCTACAAGATTTTGGAGAGAGTCTGTGGGAATTTCTGCCAGAAGAGCATTTGTGAATCAGACACTGATGTTGGATAAGAGGGTCTGACTCACAATTTCCATTCTAGTTCATCCCACAGGTGCTGGATGGGGTTGAGGTCAGGGATCTGTGAGGGCTAGTCAAATTCTTCCACACAAAACTCACCCAGTCAGGCCTTTATGGAGCTGCTTTGTGCCCTGGGGCTCAGTCATGCTGGAACAGAAAAGGTTCTTCCCCAAACTGTTCCACAAAGTTGGAAGCGTACAATTGTCCAAAATGTCTTGTTCTGCTGAAGCATTAAGGTTCCCCTTCACTGGAACTAAGGGTTCTAGACCAAACCCTGAAAAACAACCCCACAGCATCACCCCTCCTCCACCAAACTTTACAGCTGGCACAATGCAGTCAGGCTGACAGATAAGCTTGGAAACCTCCTAAAGCTCAGTTCTTTTGTTGATGTTGCTTCCAGAGGCAATTTGGAACTCTTTAGTGAGTGATTTAACAGAGAATAGGCACGGAGCACTTTTTTATGGTTTACCACTTCGTGGCTAAGGTGTTTTTGCTTCTAAATGCTTCCATTTCACAGTACTAACATTCTGCAGGGGCAGATCTAGCATCATGCAACCATTCTACTGCCAGTGTTTGTCTATCAAGACTGCTATATGTAGGCTATGTGCTTAATTTTATCCACCTGTTAGCAGTGTGTGTGGCTGAAACACCTGAACTCAATAATTAGGAGGGGTGCCCCAATACTTATCCATGTAGTGTATGTTATGATTTGAATTTTTTTTTTTTTTGGTACCACTTATTTTCACCAGTGTTAGTGTTTAAAACCTAAATGACACATTCTCTTTTGCCTGTGGTTGATCCTGAAAAATAAGAAGAATTAGAACTCTTGTAAATACAGGAGTTTGTAGATGCCAACACAGCATTGCAAAATGGCTAAACCCTTGGAACAGATGGCTGATTAGTCAGGTTTAAAAAACATTCTCAGCCAAATTCTCAGCTTCCCTTCTCCTTGAAGTGTTTGAACTTGACTGAAACAAAGGCATCTATCACGCTGCTTCTAAAACCAGGCCAGGATACACTTCAATGCAGCTCTTACAGGCCATTTTCACTTTCATGAATGTAGCTCAAATCTTGGCTAAACTCATAGCTTGTAGAATGAACAACAGGATCAGAAGTTAGCAGATCAGTCTGATTTCATATTCATCACCTTTTCACAAAAATCTGTAAGCTTTTGATAGTTGAGTGGAATTTCCTGTCCACTGTATTTGCCCAAAACTCAAACTCATTCTCATGCATTTGCCCAAAGTGGATCATTCTCAGCACTGCAGTAACACTGACTTGGTGGCGGTGTGTTAGTGTGTGTTGTGCTGGTGCGAGTGGATCAGACACTCCTACCTTCTCAGTCCACCTTGTAGATGTAAAGTCAGAGACGATAGCTCATCTGCTGCTGCACAGTTTGTGTTGGTCATCCTCTAGTCCCTCATCAGTGGTCACAGGACGCTGTTGGCTGGATATTTTTGGTTGGTGGACTATTCTCAGTCCAGCAGTGACACTGAGGTGTTCAAAAACCTCCAGCAGCACTGCTGTGTCTAATCCACTTGCACCAGCGCAACACACACTAACACACCACCACCACGTCAGTGTTACTGCAGTGCTGAGAATGATCCACCACCCAAATAGTACTTGGGGGGTAATAGGGGGCTAACAAAGTATGCAGAGAAACAGATGGACTACAGCCTGTAAGTGTAGAACTACAAAGTGAAACTATGTGGTCAGTGGAGCTGATAAAATGGACAATGAGTGTAGAAACAATGTGTACTTAATGAAAAAGCAGGTCAATGAACATTTATTCATTTTTGTACACCTATATAAAGAAAGCTGTTAAGGGAATGCTGACTGTTATCCAACATCATTACAATACACCCCCAAAATACTTGCAGTTGTGCTGTAAATACCTGTAATTATTTAAATACTTTTATTTTGCACTTTGCACAATCGTAATGCATTCTGTTGTGATTTTGTCATTTTTGAAGGAGATGATTTTATAATTAATTTGTTTTCAGGAGTGATCCCACTGATACTCTTTCTAATTGAAAAGCACCAAAAAGATGTATGTCAAATATACAAAATTTTGTCATTATTGGTATCTACTGTTTCTATTCAGCAAATAGTCAGAGACACATTAAATCATAATTGAATCATACTATCATTGCAATATTCAGCAACTTTACATCATACTGCATTTTGCATCCATACCATGCATAACGTGTTACTTAAGAGTGTGAGTTTTCACAGGTATGCACAGTTTTCAACAGTTTCTCGTTAGGTTGAATGAATAACTGACTCTAAATGTAGGTATTGTGATATAAACCGAGTCTGTTCTACAGTTTCTCATTAGGCTGAATGAATTACTGACTCTAAATGTAGGTATTGTGATATAAACCGAGTCTGTTCTACAGTTTCTCATTAGGCTGAATGAATAACTGACTCTAAATGTAGGTATTGTGATATAAACTGAGTCTGACCTACAGTTTCTCATTAGGCTGAATGAATAACTGACTCTAAATGTAGGTATTGTGATATAAACTGAGTCTGTTCTACAGTTTCTCGTTAGGCTGAATGAATAACTGACTCTAAATGTAGGTATTGTGATATAAACTGAGTCTGTTCTACAGTTTCTCATTAGGCTGAATGAATAACTGACTAAATGTAGGTATTGTGATATAAACTTAATCTGTTCTACAGTTTCTCATTAGGCTGAATGAATAACCGGCTCTAAATGTAGGTATTGTGATATAAACTGAGTCTGACCTACAGTTTCTCATTAGGCTGAATGAATAACTGACTCTAAATGTAGGTATTGTGATATAAACTGAGTCTGTTCTACAGTTTCTCATTAGGCTGAATGAATAACCAGCTTATATTATATGTATTAGTGCTAAATGTCAGTTTCAGTGCATGCAGCAAACTAAATAACACTGTAGGTACTCATTAGAAATCTTTAGAAATTCCAGAGCTTAAACTCAAAACAGTTTTCAACTGCTGACAACACAAATCTGTTGTACGCATGTGGTTTGTCCCCTATAATCGACTAATTCTGAACACAGCTTAAGGAGACCCCCAAAGCCAGAGGCTCATTTTCTCTTGCTATATACATCATCTAGGTATCTGTGGTGTACTGGAGAAATTCATGTTGGTCACACACTGCATACTGTTTGCTACTTTTGTGAAAAAGTACCTGAGTAGTTGTAGTTTCAAACACAGTCACTGTCTCTCTCTCTCTACACACACACACACACACACACACACACACACACACACAGACATCCACTGTTATTACTCCCACTTTTTCCTACAAACACACAATAAAAATGGAATAATACACTGGTGTGTGTGTGTGAGAGAGAGACAGAGAGAGACAGAGAGAGAGAAAGAGAGAGAGAGAGAGAGAGAGAGAGAGAGAGACAGAGACAGAGAGAGAGAGAGAGACAGAGAGAGAGGATGGTTGTAAAGATTGTCTTGTGAGGTTCAGTCTGTTGCTCATTACCTCATTGTGTATTCTGTATTGTGTGTGTTGATCTGTAAGTGTAAGAAGTTTTTCTTCTCTCTGCAGGCTGACGAGCTGCAGTATTACAGATGAAGGTTGTGCTGCTCTGATTAAGGCTCTGAAATCAAACCCCTTGTCACAGCTGACAGAGCTGAACCTGAACAACAATAAACCAGCAGTGAAGGAGCTCTCTGATCTACTGCAGAAGAAAGACTGTAAACTAGAGAAACTACAGTGAGTTACTGACTTACTTTCACTATATTCCTCTCTTCAATCCATTTAAACTCATTTTTCTGGTGTACCCTAAATCTTTTATCATTAGTTGTCTCACTGCTGTAAATAGCATTTTGATCTATATTGTCTATGACTGAGGGTCATTTTCTACATTAAATAGCTTGAAATAGTTTGAAAACCAATTTCAGTAATGTCTCCCAATGTTTAGGACAGAATATTTATATTTTATAGATAGAAAAAATGGTGAATCTGCTAATTTGAAGTCTCAAATCACTTTTATTTAAAAAATATATATATATTATTTTCACATCCAAATATAATATTGACCCTGACTGGAACTAAGGGTTCTAGGCCAACCCCTGAAAAACAGCCCCATATCATCATCCCTCCTCCACCAAACTTTACAGCTGGCACAGTGCAGTCAGGCAGGTAACGTTCTCCTGGCATTCGCCAAACCCAGACTCGTCCATCAGACTGACAGATGGAGAAGCTGATTCGTCACTCCACAGAATACATTTCGGCGCTTTACTCCACTCCATCCGACGCTTAGCATTGTGCTTGGTGATGTAAGGCTTGCATGCAGCTGCTAATCCATGTAAACACTGCCATGAAGCTCCTGGTGCAGTTTTTGTGCTGATGTTGATGCCACAGGAGGTTTGGAACTCTGCAGTTATTGATCAGCAGAGCGTTGGAGATGTTTATGCTCTATGCTCCTCAGCACTCGGTGACCTGCTCTGTAACTTTACGTGGTCTGACACTTCATTGCTGAGTTGCTGTGGTTCCTAAATGCTTCCACTTTTCAATAATACCACTTACAGTTCATCATGGAATATCTAGGAGGGAAGACATTTCACAAATTGACTTGTTGCAGTGGTTATTACAGAACCATGCTCGAATTCAGTGAGCTCTTTAAAACAACCCATTCTTTCACTAATGTGTGTAAAGGCAGGCTGCATGGCTGGCTGCTTGATCTTATACACCTGTGGCAATGAGACTGAATGAAACACCTGAACTCAAGGATTAAGAGGTGTGTTCCAATACTTCTGATCATGTAGAGGACATAGGGCTCTATTGTCATGCCTGTGCAAGTGCAATATTTCAGTATAATGCAGGCTTATTACTAATTTGGTTGGATGCCCGTTCACACCGATTTGATGTTTTGGTGGTCAGAAATGATAGTGATGTGATGACGTGGGTGAAGTGGTGTAACAGGGGTGTGATATTACAAATCCACCAGCGTCAAGTTATTTTGGTATTGTGATATAAACTGAGTCTGTTCTACAGTTTCTCATTAGGCTGAATGAATAACTGACTCTAAATGTAGATATTGTGATATAAACTGAGTCTGTTCTACAGTTTCTCATTAGGCTGAATGAATAACTGACTCTAAATGTAGGTATTGTGATATAAATTCAGTCTGTTCTACAGTTTCTCATTAGGCTGAATGTTCCAATAATTTTGATCATATAGAGAAATGATAAATCCACCAGTGTCAAGTTATTTTCAAACCCATTATAGTCCAAAAACATGCTTGTGCAACTGATTCTTCAGATTCTTATCACAAATGCAAGTGCAAAATGTATTTTTCTGACCTTAAGCACAGACATAAAAATGTGTTCAATTACAGCATGGATTTGATGGAAAAATACTGTTTACATCATGCCCACTAAACTTTTAACTTTTCCCAGTTACTAAGTACATCTGACTTGATTAGCCTTTCACAGTTACTAACTAAATACAAATAACTTGATTATTTTTCACAACAAAAAAGGAAAAAGTACTAAATTTCACTCTGGTGACATCGACACATGAAACATTATATAACTAAAATAATTAATGGAATGTTTAACAAACTAAAATCTGATTGGCTAAGCTATGTTTAAAGCTACTGTAACATACTGGCTTTTTTGTTCTGTTCATCTGATCAACACATGAATAAAGAAATTAGAGGTAGAAAAATGTGCAGTTGCACAACTTGCACCTTCCTCATTTACAATTTTTATTTTATTTTTCTGATGTATTTAGTTATTTCAAATAATTTTCATTATTTATTATATTCTATTCTTTTTATCTTTTAAGTTATATATATATATATATATATATATATATATATATATATATATATATATGTTATAAATATGTTATATTTAAGTTATATTTGGTGTAGTCATATTTAACTGCTAGTGCTTATGATTTATTTTTTCTACTGGATTGCCACTGCTATTTTCTTAGTATTTTTAGGACTGTGAGGCATTTTGAGCATTTCCCATTGTTATATAAATAAACTACTACCAAGGTTTGGTTGTCATTATAATTATTAATTACAAGAATATATAGTAATCTATCTATTATTCTAACCTGCAGCTTTAGCATTTTTGTTTTGTGTATGTTTAAAAGGAACAGTTCCATGAAAAAGTCTTTTAGCACATGGGATTCAGAGTAGAAAATGTATTTGTACCCAGATTAAAAGCTGTAAATTAATTCAGTTTGAGCACACAATTATCATTCACCTCCCATCCACTGTAGACATAGAAAAACAAAAAGGCATTTTCTAAACATGATGTATACTTGCCTAATATATTATGAGGGGGATTATTTGATGATACAGTTTTTAAGCAGAGGGTCTAACAACAAGTATTTCACCAAAACAAACCTCAGATAACTGCAGTGTATTTACAGGAGCAAGGCTGTTGCACCTGAACAACAAAGAGGAGGCAGAACACCTTTATAGGAGCAATTTAAAATGCCGAATTCCCAGTGAAATGTAATACAAAAACAGACAAGTATGAATAAAAATGAAAGACATGAGTAAATCCTCTGTATTATATTTCTCTGGATTTTCTGAGTCTTATCACAATATTATGTGTGGTAGAAGGCTAGAGACCTAACTTCATTGCAGTCTTGCATTGAGAAATGTTCTTTTGACTGTTTGACAATTCACAAAGTGGAACAAAGTGCTGAGCCATGACCCATCTTTACTTTCAAAGACCGATACTTTAGTGGATGCTCCTTTTATACCCAAACATGATACCCTCACCTGTTACCAATTCAGCTTATTGTGGAATGTTTCATAACTTGGATATTGCATAAACTTTATATTTACAAAATACAATCAAGTTTGTTAGTGAAAACATTGAACAACTTTTCTTTTGTCAGTTAAAGGTTCAAGGTTCAATTAACTTGTTTTTATTGCATTTTACAAAATGTCCCAATTTTTCCAGAAAAGGGGTTTGTAGATAAACTTATTTCACATTATGATATCCCTAATGTGGACAACAGCACTCTGTGTGTGTGTGTGTGTGTGTGTGTGTGTGTGTGTGTGTGCATGTAATCTGTGTGTTACTTGTTGCTTCATTGTGCACTGTGTGTGTGTTCTGTAATTGTGAGGAGATTTTCTTCTCTCTGCAGGCTGTCTGACTGCAGTATTACAGATGCAGGCTGTGCTGCTCTGGTTAAAGCTCTGATATCAAACCACTCATCACAGCTGAAAGAGCTGAACCTGAGCTACAATAAACCAGGATATTCAGCAGTGAAAGAGCTCTCTGATCTACTGAGGAAAGAAGAGTGTAAACTGGAGAAACTAGAGTGAGTTACTGACTGACCGCCTTTACACACACACACACACACACATACACACGTCTCAAGTTGATTCTGAGTGGACTTCAGACTCTAAGTGGAGTCTGAAGTCTTAAACAAGTCAGTATGCATTCTTCAGCAAATTTAATGCCATTGCAACACTGAACACCAGGAACGATAATGACATAAATATTTAATAAAACATGTTGGAGTGGTACATGAATAGCCATGACAAGCACAATTATAGGAACAAAAAGTAGTGTAATTATTCACGTACTCTACAGTAAACAATTTTAAAGCACTATTGAACTCAACAATTATCAACAAGTTTATAGTGGAAGAAGATCATTTTAACCAACCCTCACCCCCTATATGTTCTAAACATAGTGGACTATCAGCTTAGCTTGTCCATTCTTGAAAGCAGTGCAAAACAAAGATCAGTTTGATGATTTTGTACACAATGAAATAAATACTCTATTTTTTCCTTGTGACAATTCATAACACTAGCTGGCTGAACATAAACTGAAAACACATGCTAGTTTGAATAGAATTTAGACAATATACAGAAGAAACAAAAATGGTCGTGCTGAACAAAGTTTGAGAGAGCAAAATCACAGTGAATTTCCTGATATTTTAACTGCAGAACTGGTTGAAATGATTTAGATAGAGCAAGCTAAAGTGTTTGTTTCACTACCAGGAGGAAAACTGGAGTACAGTGCTAAGTGAAGGATTACTTGTTTGAATTTTGATGATTTCCAGCTTATTGAGGTAAACTGTAATCCTCAAGCTTGTCTCACTCATCCTCTACAAAAAGCAAAGCCTACACCCAGAAACAAACCTATTTACATTAAAAGTAATTGAGCAGTGGTTCACAAAATGGTCCTCAGATGGTCTACATGCATTGTATAAGGTTCAATCTATTACTCTTACTGACGAGTTTTCTTCTTCTCTCTGCAGACTAGAATGGTGCTATATTACAGATGAAGGTTGTGCTGCTCTGATTAGAGCTCTGAAATCAAACCCCTCACAGCTGAGAGAGCTGAACCTGAACATCAATAATCCAGGACAGTCAGGAGTGAAGGAGCTTTCTGATCTACTGAATGATCCGCCTTGTAAACTGGAGAAACTACAGTGAGTTACTGTCTGTACACACACACACACACACACACACACAAACACAAAATAAACCAAGAGATTCAGGAGTTCAGTTTGGAGTGAAAGTGTTCTGTGATCTACTGAATGATCCAAACTATAAACTCTGGAAACTACAGAGAGTTACAGACATTCTCTCTCTATTAAAAGTCAGAGAACTGAAACCAGAACACAGTGGCTGCGTCTTAAATAGCAAACTTAATTTTGATCTGGTACAAACTACTCAGCCATTATAGAACCATGTTCAGTATAGAAGTGCATAGTATGAAGACTCCTTGTACAAGTAGATTCTTGTAGTAATTTATACTGGCTGCATTCATGCCTCTTGAATGAAGGACCCTTAAACACAAAGTTATAGATAAGATATTTCATTTGTTAGGCGTAGTTTACATTATGATTGGCCTAATCACTTTTATCATTGGCTCACATAAAATAACTGCTCAAATGTGCTTTCAGTATTAAAACATTATTAATACATAAACTAAAACGCAAGTAAAAATGCACTTGCTAAATGTTACATAATTCAGGTTATATTTTTATTATGTTTAAATGTCAAATGTTAGGGGTTTGCTAATCATCACTCCTCCTGAGACACTAACACTCTCTCAAACACACAGCTACTGAGCTGAATCGAGGGGTACCCAAACTTTTCCACACCCTCATGTAGAGGTAGTGTTTACCCTGTGACCAACCAAGTATTCTCTGAAGTAGGCCATAAACACCCCCAAAAAGTGCTTTCAGCCCACTTTTATTCAACATACTTTCAATATTTTGATTCTTTCAAATCAACAATCTCTATAGCACATCATGATAAAAGAATGAAACATGCAATGGCCTACAGTAGAATAGAAAAATAATAAAATAATAACATATCTATGTTTAATCCATTCAGCTCTAACCTTCACTATGAACACATTAGTAAATGTAATATTTAGTTGATCATTGCATTAAGATTTCATAGGAAGCACAGCGTCCCCTAAAATTTAATATAACTCAGTACCGAAATGGTTAACAGTGTGTCTGTATTGCTTGTAACTCATACTGCAAATTACTACTTTTAGCAAAGTGTGAAAGATCTGCTCTGTAAAACTGCACTCTGGTACTGTTTGTTTAAGTACACCACTGTAATGTGCCTAACTGTCTGATTTAAACTATAAATAGTCTGCTGTTTAATGCGTGTTCACTTCTGCAGGGGAGTCATTTGTAAACTAGCATTAGAGATACAGGCTACATGAACCTTGTAGGTTTTTATGGTATTCACTATTTGGAAAATGAAACTATATATAGAAACTTCTATATTAGAAATTTTTCTTTAATTTGCCAAGTCAACTGTTAACAGTAGAGCATTTAGTAGATTTTGTGAGTATATAATTTTGCAGCTGTAGCTGCTTTTTGAAGCAGACACTGTTAATGTCAACCTTATTAATGTTAACCTTAGAGGATTAGCTAGAAAATAGATACACATTCAAAAGTTTGAAATCAGTGTTGTTAATAAAATAAAACCCATTTGGTTGGGGATAAATGTAGAAAATGATTATAATATACTGGTCCTGTGCACCTTCACAAGTACAGAAGTAGATTGATACATCTCTATGTCATCAAGTAATAATAAATTAATATACAGTAGTTTAAGTACTCAGGTTTTCTATTTTTTTGGTTATTAGAATATTGCCCCCTGTGCTTCCCGTCTGTCAGAAAACATCAGCCGGCTCTGGGCTAAAACAAGTTTGTGCAGCCAAGTGGGTCATATTTGGAGTATTTTGTACATTTTTCTTATGGCAGGTTGCTCGCTGCTAGAAAAAAAATGTACTGGAATCTTTAAATGCAGAGACTACTGCTATTGCACAAAATCCAGTAACTCCACTTCAAATGTGCGTGACCGTTGTTGCATATTTTGTTGCGTATCCCTTCTATTAGATAACATCTTGAAGTGTTCTAGGCATGGAGTGCATGAATTTGCACAGCTGATGTTCAGCCAGGTATTTTGGATGTTCTCTTTTGGATGGTCAGAGCATGGCAGGCTTCACTAACTTATCAGTGCCAGCGTTAGCTGTGTTACTACAAGTAGTATTCTTTATTTATTATTTTAAATATAATTGTGCTCTTGCTCAACGACACATGTAACAGAAAAGAAAATACTTTTTATTTCTTACATTGATTACATTGCATTTTCACTTAGACCATAAAGGGTCTCAATCTCAAGCACTTTTCTCTTCCATATTGTTCATCATTTTAATTATTATGTGATTTTATTAAAACTTCTTAAGAAATTCATGTCAACACTGAGGATGAGAAGCAGAACTATCGAGGGAAGCTAGGAGCTGCACTGTTGAAGTAGAGGAGCAGCATTGCTGAGGAAGACGATGTGTATTGTTGTAGTGTGGTTTCTCAGTACATGGGCAGAACAGTTACAATAGTACATGATTAAATCAGGGAGAAAATTGCAAAAATAGCAAATGTAAGGAAAAATCACCCATGTGAAAAAGTTCCCCTAAACATAATAACTGGTGCAGCAACAACTGCAACCGAACACTTCCTATCTATTGTGCATCAAACTCAGTCAGCTGGAGTAGGGCACAGTTACTGACCATGAGAGACAACAACATTTCCTCTGAAACTGTTCTGGAGTTCTTCCAGAGTTTTTGGAAATACTTACAATGGGTGCTCAACCTGGCAGGGAGGTGTTGGAGAGGTAGGTGCACTCGTGCACCTCAGACAGTGTGGATTTGCCTTTACCATCTATTCTTCTCCAATCTGTGGTCTCTACACAACAAAGTGGAAGAACTACTTCTGCTCAACAAAACCAACAAGAACTTTTCAACCTCTGCTTTATGGAGATCTAGATCTCTGAGCTGAGCAGAGACAGTGTGCTGTTCAAAATACAAAACAAAATCTCAGTTTCAACATCTGATGTGTTGTCTTCGTACTATTTTCAATTAAATGGTAAATGATTTGCACATCATTGCATTGCATTCAGGAGTACAAACTCTAAACAGTGTTAATCAGAAGATGTGTTTGTGTTTCTGCTGTTGTGGTTTATTGATTTGATAAATGAACTGCAGGTTTTTATTGTTATTGCACCTCATGTCACAGTTTTAGCATGTTAGTAATTGTGAGACTAAGTGTTTTGTGTCTGTTTTGCTTCTACAGTGTGAATAAATGACGTGAAAACAGTAAACTGTGAAATGTCAATGTTTTTTAAGAAACTTTAATATTAGTATCAAAATCCTACATTATCAAATCACTCATTTTTTCAATGACACTGTTCACTTTTGTTTCTGTGTGTGTGTGTGTGTTTGTGTGTGCGCGCACATGCATGTGTGTCTGTTATGTAGTTTAATCTGTATTTTACTTGTTACTTCATTGTATTGTGTGTGTGTTCAGCTGTAAGTAGGAGTCTTTCTTCTTCTATTTTTTCTCTCTGCAGGCTGGCTGACTGCAGGATTAAAAAGGAAGACTGTGCTTCTCTGATTGAAGCCCTGAAATCAAACCACTCACAGCTGAGAGAGCTGAACCTGAGCTACAATAAACCAGGAGAGTCAGGAGTGAAGGAGCTCTCTGAACTACTGAATGATCCACGCTGTAAACTGGAAAAACTACAGTGAGTTACTGACTTACTGTCTCTACACACATATGCTCTCACCCTGGAATGCCTTTGAGAAGATATTTGTGCTTGCAAAGCTTATTTTTATCACTGGTGTGTAAATATAGTTTAAGTGTGTTTAGACTTTACACACACTTCTTGTTTAAAAGGCAAAACTGTCTTGTAAGTCTAGGTTAAACAGAGCATGATTAGCTCATACATAACATTATGACACAATATTTCCTTTAAAGTGAAAAAGCATGTTGTAGTCTTTATATTATCTGTTAAAATATTTACTTTTTACACACACAGAGCCCCTCTGCTCACCCCAGTGCTTTTTCCACTCCTAGTAAATTTTGCTGGAAAAATGGGCTCCCCTAAAGATCCATACTTATCTAATCTGCTCCAGTGTCTCTCTGTTTGCAATACAATATACAAATAAATAAATTCATCCTATCTGCATTTTGGTTTAGACACAGCACCTAACTTACAATGTTATGAAAAAGTATTTGCCCCTCCTGATTTCTCGTGTTCTTTCCTATTGGATATGACTACTAGAGCTGAAGAGAAGTCCGAATGCATTAGATTAACGATCAGCATAATTAGGAAGTGACAGAAGAATCAATTAATCACAGTGTATTTTAGAAGCTCCAAATGTACATGTTGAATCTAGAGCTTCTGTTTTCTAATTTTTCGTTTCACCTTAAATGGTTTCGCAGTTACATTCTGGCCCATTTAGGCATGTTTAAGGTGAAACAGGAAACTTGAATAAGAAGTTTCAGCCTCTTCAGAAAGTGTTCTTGTGAACTACCATTAGCTTAACACTAACAGCAGAAGTTAACATTATCGTTGAGGTGTTTTTTTCCCCTAATGTTTTGTCTGAGTTTTGAAATTTATGGCCCGAGCTGAAGGCCTAGCTCTTATAGTCATGGTTCACCACGTTGCGTTAGCAGCGATTTGAAAAGACGTGGTGGAGCATGTTTCTCAGAGAAAGCATATGCTAACATTCTCTCTCCCAGTTTGGTAGGATTGTTTGATTTAGGGAGACCAAGATAGCATGTTTGAACATGACTAAATGACAAAATCAGGGAGAAAACTAGGAAAAAATGATAAACCACACCTATGTGGCCCAGGGGAAAAAGAAAGCAGCAACAACAGCAACTTAACACTCCCTGTAACCGGAGATAAGTCTTTTACATCTCTGTGGAGGAATTACATGAATTTGAATTAATTATAATTAAATTAAGTTATAATTATAATTAGACATATTAAAATTAATTTGAAGAACGACAAATATGCAAAAATATAATAAATTAGGAGGGGCAAATACTTTTTCATGGCACTGTACATCACAAACCGTGTTCTCCTGCCTAAACAACAGAAAATGTATATCATATAGAGTGCTGTATCCAGTCCTGGACCCCACCTCTGTATTACCATACACCTCCTTTGAGATGCCTTTGTGAAGCTGATGGTCATCTGCTTTCCATCACTGTGCTGAACATAACTATAACTATAGCACTGAGAAATGGAGAGCATGGTGGAAGAAAAAGAATGAAAAATCCAAAGTGGTTAGTGAACCAGTTGTAGACCAGAGCAGCATTATAGAAACTAACACTGTGTCAGATGACAAGAAAGCTGGACTGCTTTGGGCCATTCTAATGCTCAGAATGGAGCGTGTTGTGTATGTGTGATGGAATGGAAACATTTTAGCAGTGGAGCAAGAGTGGCATGAGGACGGAGGACACCATTAACATTCACAATAGCCTTAGAAATAACCCTTTCTAATCAGTTAATTAAAAAATTACAGTATTAGTATAGCACATTTTATAAGGCATATCACAACTTTCGAGAATGTTATGAAATATATATTTTATATGTAATATAAATATTTACACCCCCACATAAGCAGGGGTACATGTTGAGAAAACCAATGAAAACCTTTTAGAAAGCAACAGGAAGACTGCAAACATGACTTCTAGGTTAACTAAGCTCAAAGTATTAAATGCTGCACTTACAGCTCTAATCTTCATACTAGTTTTAACTCCGAATAAAAACCTAACGCACACAGTTCCAGTTATGTGAAGATATTTGTAATATATAAAATGTCAGTGCAAGCTGCCATTGCGTTTCCACAGTAGCACATTTCCAGGTTGCTTATGAGCATGTTATTATGTTAAAGTGACATATGCATTAGTTAATTGTTACTGGTTAAGACATGACTTAAGGATTTGGGGTGCAGCCAAATTTAGTAAAAAGATTTTGAGTTTGAAACAAACTAGTGTTACTAGTGAGGACTTATTAAAGTTTTTACGCACAATCGTAAGTACAAAGTTATGCAAAACTGTTGCAACCGAGTCCAGAAGGAGACTCGAGAGAGGAAAACTTGGACAAGCTCCTTTAGGTCTATGGGGAAAAAGACTGAGAGGAACCTAGACTCAAAAATAGAAAATCCCTAAGAATATGAAGAAGAACCACGGAGATACATACACAAAACTTTGAACACCTAAGTGTAAATAAATTAATACATTCTCTACAAAGAACGTACTTAAATTTAACATTTTTCTGCACTAAAAATTTTTCTATTTATTTGCTAAGTTTTACACTGTGGAAAATTCAACAGTATACAATAAGAAATGTGCTAAACCTTTTGCACAGGCCACATTTTATGTTTATTTTTTTTTAAATATGTTAAATTCATTAAATAAACAATAATTTTGCATTAAAATGTGCAAAAATGTGTTCTCTGTAGACGATGTGAACTTATTGTCATGGCACAAACATTCACATATGTCTGTAAATTCTGAACAGAATGTGAATCAGAAAATGTGCTTGTGTTTCTGCTGTTGTGGTTTATTGTTTTGGGAAATGAGCTGCAGATTTTTATTGTTATTGTGTCTCATGTTCCAGTTTTATAGTGTTGAAAATTGTGAAACTGTAAGTGTTTTGTGTCTGTTTTGCTTCTACAGTGTCTCAGAATAAACTACCTGAAAAACAGTAAACTGTGAAACCACAATATTTTTCAGAAACTAATATTAACAACAAAATCTCACTTTATCAAGTCTGACATGTGGACAACAGCACCTTTTTCTGTTCGTGTGTGTGTTTGGGGGGGTGGGTGTTTTAATCTGTGTGTTATTCACTACTTCATTGTGTATTGCATGTGTGTTGAGCTGTAAGTGTGAGGAGATTTTCTGCTATCTGCAGGCTGCAATGGTGTGGGATTACATTTAATGGCTGTGCTGAACTGTTTAAAGCTCTGAAATCAAACTGCTCATCACAGCTGAAAGAGCTGAACCTGAACAACAATTATCCAGGAGATTTTGGAATGAAGGAGCTCTGTAAACTACTGGAGGATCCACACTGTAAACTGGAGAAACTACAGTGAGTTATGGTCTCTACACACACACACACACACACACACACACACACACACACACACATAATCCTCTTGTGAAAATATACACCAAACAGGCATAACATTATGACCACCTCCTTGTTTCTATGCTCATTGTCCATTTTATCAGCTCCACTTACTATATAGGTGCACTTTGTAGTTCTACAGTTACAGACTGTAGTCCATCTGTTTCTCTGCATACTTTGTTAGCCCCCTTTTACCCTGTTCTTCAGTGGTCAAAAATGTTAATATAGTCATGTGGTCTCCACAGACAACAAATTTTCTTTTTTAGAAAGGAATTTTATGTTCATTCTGGTGTATTTTGCTTGGTCTTCATCCACCTGCAGGCTTGTAGCTGCGGCTGCAACAGCGGCGATGGGACGGGTAATATTAGAGCACAGTCAGAGTTGCAAGCAAGCAAAGTTTATTTATATAGTGCTTTTTACAACAGGTGTTGTCACAAAGCAGCTTTACAAAGAAATCAGCATTACAGAAAGAAATCCGGGTCCGAGCCCCCATGAGCGTCGCCAGTGGCGTCAGTGGCAAGGAAAAACTCCCTAGAGAAAACAGGAAGAAACCTTGAGAGGAACCAAGACTCAGAAGGGGAACCCATCCTCCTCTGGTCGACAACGGATAGTAAATATTGTTAGCAGTGGGGTCAGGTTGTGAGGGTGAGGTTTGCACGACGTAGTACAGCATGAAGCTTGATGGTGGTCAAGCCAGCCCAGAGGGCTGGCGAGCAGTGGCACCCGATCAAGGCAGAAGAGGCAGCAGCATCAGACGCACAGGATAGGCAGCTGTTCAACTCGGCAAAGAAAAGAAAGAAAGGAAAAACACACAGAGAGTCAGTTCTGTAATGGGTGATTAATTTGATTAGTTTAAATGATTGATTAGTTCAAATGACTAATTTTGATTAGTTTAGTTTATGCAGCAAAAGCAGCAGCATCAGTGGGGTCAGGTTGTGAGGGTGAGGTTTGCATGGCGTTGTACAGCAAGAAGCTCAATGGTGGTCAAGCCGGATGGACAGCTGTTCAACTCGGCAAAGAACAGAAAGAAAGGAAAAACACACAGAGAGTCAGTTCTGTAATGGGTGACTGATCACAAATTACAGTGTTAGCAGAGGAGCGGAGACTCTGGCAGGTATAGAACTGACAGGGAAAACTAATTACCAAAGGCTCGACTATACAAGTAAGTTTTTAGCCTAGACTTAAAGGCTGAGGCTGTGTCTGAGTCCCGAACATTAACAGGAAGATTATTCCAATATAGCCCCCCCCCGACGTAACTTTATTAATTCTAGGTACTAATAGTGAGCAGCACCTTGTGATCTAAGTAGGCGTGATGGTTCATAGTGAGAGAGAAGTTCACTCAGGTACTGAGGGGCGAGTCCGTTTAGGGCTTTGTAAGTCAGTAAGATAATTTTATCATCAATGCGAAATTTAACTGGTAACCAGTGTAAAGTTGATAAAACTGGGCTGATATGGTCAAACTTTCTGGTTCTAGTGAGAACTCTGGCTGCAGCGTTCTGGACTAGCTGAAGCTTGTTAAGGCTTTTGCTGGGACATCCAGCCAGCAGGGCATTACAGTAATCTAGCCTTGAAGTAATAAATGCATGGACTAAATTTTCTGCATCCTGTAGAGAGAATGCATTTCTTAATTTAGCAATATTGTGGAGATGCAGGAAGGCTGTTCTAGTAATATTAGTTATATGTGCGTCGAAGGACAGATCAGGGTCTATAATGACACCAAGGTTTTTTACCGATGAGCTTGATGCAACTGAGAAATTGTTAAGTTTAAGTGTTTAATTAGACAGTTTGTTTCTAGCTGCTTTTGGACCAAGAAGTAGAACCTCTGTTTTATCTGAGTTTAGAAGGAGAAAGTTACTTGACATCCAGTCTTTTATGTCTTTTATACAGTCCTCAATCTTGCCAAGTTTAATTTTATCATCCGGTTCACTTGCTAAATATAACTGAGTGTTGTCGGCATAGCAGTGGAAGTTTATGCCGTGTTTACTGATAATAGTGCCCAGTGGTAGCATATATAATGTGAATAATACAGGTCCTAAAACAGAGCCTTGTGGAACACCATACTTTACTTTTGTGAGAACAGATGATTCACCGTTTATATTAACAAACTGATAGCGATCAGTGAGGTAGGACCTGAACCAGGAAAGAGCTATTCCTGTTACTCCTTTTCTAGTCTATCTAGTAAGATAGCGTGGTCTATTGTGTCAAATGCCACACTAAGATTGAGGAGGACTAACAAGGACACATTTTCTTGGTCAGAGAATAATAAAAGATCATTTACAATTTTTACTAGTGCTGTTTCTGTACTATGATGTGGCCTAAAGCCAGATTGAAATTTTTCATGTATTTGATTTCTATGCAAATAGGAGCTTAATTGTTTTGCTACAACTTTTTCCAAGATATTAGATATAAAGGGGAGATTCAAGATGGGTCTATAATTTGACAGTTCGCAGGGATCGAGGTTAGCCCTCTTAATCAGCGGTCTAATTACTGCTAGTTTGAACGTTTTTGGGATGTATCCAAGGCTAAGAGAGGAGTTTATTATTGACAGAATAGGCTTGGTTATTTCTGGCAAAATTTCCTTGAGTAAACCTGTAGGAATCTGATCTAACATACAAGTAGATGAATTTGCGGAAGAAACAATTTTAACTAGTTAAACATTTTCTTGAAGTAAGGTAAATGATTCAAGCCTCTCTGCAGGGATTATAGTATTCTCAAGGTTAAGGCTGGCATTATGGGGAAGCAGGTTTGTAGATTTTAACAGTGCATTCTGAATTGTCTGCCTAATTTTTTCAATTTTGTCACTAAAGAAGTTCATAAAATCATTGCTGTTATAGGCTGGTGGCCTACTGTTTTGTTCTCTGTTAGTTTAGAGATTGTGCTGAAAAGTAATCTAGGATTATTTTTATTGTTTTCTATGAGAGAGGAGAGATAGGCTCAGCGTGCTGTAGCAAGTGCTCTTCTAAAGTCTATAAGGCTCTCCTTCCAGGCGGACTAGAACACTCCTAGCTTTGTCAGGCACCATTTTTGCTCAAGTTGTCTGGCGTTCTGTTTTAAAGCCCGAGTGTGGTCATTATACCAAGGGGCGGGTTTTTTCAGCCTTACTATTTTACTTTTCAATGGAGCCACACTATCTAAGGTAGATTGAAAGGAATCCTCTAAGAGCTTAAAAGGTCATAATATCTAACTTGGTATGATTAGATGGACAGCTGACAGAAGCTGATAATTGAAGGTTTCTGATAAAGCTACCAGCTGTGGAGGAAGTTATTGTCCACTTAACACAATAACATGGTGATGAACGCACATTACCACTAAAGTGAATTTCGTAAGAGATTAAGTAATGGTCAGAGACTCCTGTGCTCTGGGAGAGAATGGCTAAGTTATCTATGTCTACACCAAAGGTCAGTATTAAGTCTAGAGTGTGGTTGTGGTAGTGTGTGGGCTCCTTTATGAATTGGGTGAAACCTATGGAGTCTATGATAGATATAAATGCCTTGCTTAGTGTATCTTGAGGATTGTCAAAGTGGATATTAAAATCTCCGACAACTATTATTTTATTTGAAAGCGTTATTAGACTTGATAGAAACTCAGAGAATTCCCGTAAGAACTGAGAATTCGGCCCTGGCGGCCTGTAAATTGTAATTAGTGAAAGGAATTTTGGGGCGGCACGGTGGCGCAGTGGGTAGCGCTGTCGCCTCACAGCAAGAAGGGCCTGGGTTCGATTCCCGGCCGGGTGACCAGGGTCGTTCTGTGTGGAGTTTGTGTCTGCGTGGGTTTCCTCCGGGTACTCCGGTTTCCTCCCACAGTCCAAAAACATGTAGTCAGGCCAATTGGGCATGCTAAATTGCCCCTAGGTGTGAGTGTGTATGTATGTGTGGATGTATGTGTCTGTTTGTCTGCCCTGCGATGGACTGGCGACCTGTCCAGGGTGTATCCTGCCTTCCGCCCGATGACAGCTGGGATAGGCTCCAGCACCCCACCGCGACCCAGAAGGATAAGCAGTTTAGATGATGGATGGATGGATGGATGAAAAGGAATTTTTATTTGTTCCTTGATCATGTATATTTAGTAAAAGAACTTCAAAAGAAGAGAATTTATAGCCTACTTTCTGGCTCACGCCTAAAGCTTTAGTATGGATGGTTGCTATACCTCCACCTCGGCCGCTTAAACGAGGGCTATGTGCATAGCTGGGGGTGTGGCTTCATTTAGACTGAAGTATTCATCGGGTGTAATCCACGTTTCTGTGAGGCACAGAGCATCAAAACCGTGATCGGTAATAATTTCATTTACAACGACGGCTTTAGATGTGAGGGATCTTATGATCGTTTAATCACTATCTGAAACTCAGTGCTGCTCTGGAACAGTTCACAGTGGTGCTGAGTCCTCTGCATATGATTAACATTACTTTCATTTGCATTTCAGTTGCATTTGAGTTTGCTTTCTGGGGATACATCTTTGATTTCTAAAGATTTTGTCTGTAGTTGTTGCTCATCCGCTGTCCATCCACTAGCCCTGCTAAAGTAAACACACTTACTCACAAAAGCAACTGACAAAAGTTTCAAATGAGAAGAGGCACAGTGGAAACTCTAACCTGTGAATAGGGCTTGGGAATGTGATATCATAATACTGTCTCTTATAGGGGATCCACCATTGTGGCAAGGTTAGTCCATCTAGGCTGATAAAGAATAGTTGAATTAATTGTCCTTTCCAGTCTGCTTTTCTTGATTGTACCTAATCTGAAGCCCATGGATTCACTAAGTACACTTACAGAACTGACTAACTTGGGTTAATGACTACAAGATCAAAGATCACAGCAAAATAGAAAGAAAGAAAGGTTCAATCAGCTGTTTGCAGCAAATCTAGTATGACAGCCCATATGAAGCATCGCAATGAGGGTGCACATAAACATGAAGCTCAACTTTATTTCATACTCGAATTGTATAGATTTAATGGAATAAAACTTTCAACATCATTTAGTGTATTTATAATGTTTGGAATGAGCTAATTCTTCAGTACTACCTAATGGGTGCCAGAACTGCTGCACCATTTAAGGTGGAACAAAAAATGGAATAAGAAACTAGCAAATTAGAAGCTGGTCTCAATGTGGTGAGGTATGCATTGATACTACTAATAATGATCAACAAACATAAGATTTTACCTCTCAACATATGCCGTTTTTCAGCTAAAAATTACGAGGTGTAATAAATTATGCTGTGACTGGGCTAATAATGTTAGCTGAGCTGTCAGATGATTAGCATTTATTTATCTCTAAAGACTTTAGATTTACTGCCTCTTCAGTTAAACTTAAGCCACCTGTGATCTAATGTGGATTTCTGTGGGAGTTAATGTTGAGTCCAGCATTGGTGCCATTTGGCTGTTAAATTGCCAGGCAAGCAGTGTTTGCTAAAAAGCTACCTACAGTGGAATATGAGAGTGAGCAGAGGTGGCAGAAGTACATAAGTCTCTTCCTAAAGTAAAAGTACTAAGTAAAAAAATAAAAAATAAAATAAAATTTGAAGTATGACTTAGTTTTTTAGTCAAGTAAAAGTATAAAAGTACATAAAAAAGTAAAAAAGCAAAAGTACTTGCTTAAAGAATCATTTCTAATAAATTTCTCTTTTAATAGAAGGTTGGTGGTACACATGATCAAACTAAGCACACATGGTTTGTACTAGAACTTCAGGCATTTTCCACAAAAATGCACTTATCTAGAGCACTTAAACACATATACATATTTCCTTTACAAGAATTTGACAAGGACATTGTTGAAATCTCTACTAAGAAAAAAAAATGTAGATTTTTATTTTAGCAGGCAGTACTGAACATCAAGTAAATTCTTTAAGAAAGGCCAGGAGTGGGGTTTTCAGACTGGGAGTTACATGATACAGACCAACCCCCACACTCCACACACACACACACACACACACACACACACACACACAATGCACTATTGTCCTGCAATGTCATACCATCAAGCTATAGGCTATTCCTAACATCAGTGCAGTCACCCTACATATTCCAACACTTTCACAATAGCAACCAATAAGAAAGATGGATTCACACAAACAACCAACACTGCAGCATCTTCCGCTCACCACAGACATATTCTACACAGAGATGCCAAAACTAAGTTAAAATGAGACAAAAAATTTGAAGATGTACAAACTTAAAACCTAATAATTATCGAAGCCAACAATGCAGGTTACTGCCACAGTGGGCAGACTCATATGAAGATGTCATGAAAGTTAAATCAAACAGCTCATGTGCGAAGACGAGGAGAAAAAACACAGCACCTAAACACCTAAGCCTAACCATCCTAGGCTAAAGCATACTACCAAAACGAGCATAAAATTTGTTTATGGTTTGTACATGTCTTACCTGCAGTGACTCAATGCACTAAAGCAGAGGTCACTAACAGGCGAACCGTGGTCCAGAGTCCAGACCCAGACACTGTCCTATGCCGACTTACAACTGATAAACTATGGAGAATTATTTAATTTTCATGGGGTGGTCCTATTTTAATCAGCTTACTTTTCTAGCCTTTACAGTAGCTTTAGCAGCATGGGAGACTCCCAGGCCAATCTCATGCGTTGTAAATATCACATGTGATGCTAATCAGATCTGTGCATTACAATGAGCACTCAGACGCGAGTGAGTGACTCACACACACAGGGGAGGGACGAGGCGAGGAACAGCAGTCGGAGATGAAAGTGAGTCAGAGGGAAGTTGTTTCACATGTTGTGCTCTAAAAAGAGAAAATTGACAATACATGTCGTTGAAATATGACTGAATTGGACTTATACCTTATACCGTATACCTACTAGGCTACTTCAGTTTACAGTATATGGCACTGAATCATAATGTAAGTTAGACATTATGATGTTCTGGACCTTTGCTTGAGGATATTTTCTCTAACTGGACCTTATGGAATTTTAATGAAAGATTCAAATTTATGAATGAAAATGTTATTTTTAGTGTATATTTCAATGTGAGAATGCACCAAAAACAGGTATTTTTAGACACATTTTTGTGAAAAGGAAAAAAAGAAAAACTAGAAGACCACTGAGAGGAGCCAAGACTCAAAAGGTGATCCTCCTTAAGAGCATGAGGAAGAGCCGCTGAGAGGAACCAGGACTCAAAAAGATAAATGCCCTAAGAGTATAAGGAAGAACCTTTAGAAGGAACTGGGTCTCAAAAGGTTAAACTCCCCAAGAGTATGACGAAGAACCATTGAGAGGAACCAGGACTCAACAAGACTAAAAAAGGAACCCACCTTCCTTTGGGCCACATCAAATAGTGGGGAGGAGAGATCAGTGGGATACATAAGTGACTAATGTTACTCATGTTCTAGCCTGTTGGTTTAAGTACAGTCAAACACAAAACTTTGAACACCTAAGTGTAAATAAGTTAATACATCCTCTACAGAGAACATTCACAGGCCACGTCTTATGTTTTTTTCTAATATGTTAAATTTAGCAAATGAACAGTATATATGCATTAAAAGGTGCAGAATTGTGTTCTCTGTAGAGAATGTGTTTACTTATTTTCATGTATTAGTTATTTGACCAGGAGCAAACATTTACATATGACTGTAAATTGTGAACAGAATGTGAATCAGAAAATGTGTTGTGGTTTATGGTTTTTATTGTTATTGTGTCTCATATTCCAGTTCTGATGTGTTAATAATTGTAAAATTGTAAGTGTTTTGTGTGTTTTTCGCTTCTACAGTGTCTCCGAATAAATTACCTGAAGATTGGTAAACTGTGAAACCACAATATTTCAGAAACTATAATATTAGTATCAAAATCTCACGTTTAATCCTTTGTGTATTGTCTGTGTGCTGAGCTGTAATTGTGAGGAGTTTTTCTTCTTCGCTCTGCAGGCTGGCTGACTGCAGGATTTCAGATGAACGCTGTGTTGATCTGTTTGAAGCCCTGAAATCAAACCGCTCACCACAGCTGACTGAGCTGGACCTGGACAACAATTATCCAGGAGATTCAGGAGTGAAGGTGCTCTCTGATCTACTGAAGGAGAAAGACTGTAAACTGCAGAAACTACAGTGAGTTACTGACTTACTGTCTCTACACACACATATGCTCTCACCCTGGAATGCCTTTGTGAAGATATTTGTGCTTGCAAAGCTTATTTTTATCAATGGTGTGTAAATAGAGTTTGAGCGTGCTTAAACTTTACACACACTTCTTGTTTAAAAGGCAAAACTGTCTTGTAAATCTAGGTTAAGCAGAGCATGATTAGCTCATGCATAACATTACAACACAATATTTCCTTTAATGTGAAAAAAAAACAGGTTCTAGTCTTTATTTTATCTATTAAACTTTTTTACTTTTTAAACACACAAAGCCCCTCTGCTCACCCCAGTGCTTTTTCCCACTCCTGGTAAACCTTGCTGGAACAATGGGCTCCCCTAAAGATTCATGCAAATCAAATCTGCTCCAGTGTCTTTCTGATCACCACCTGCCCCTCTACAGACTGTACGAGTTAAGGTTTAAATAACTATCTGATACTCAGTGCTGCTCTGGAACAGTTCACAGTGAAGCTGAGTCCTCTGAGCAGGACTAACATTACTGTCATTTGCATTTCAGGTTGCTTTGTGGGGTTCCTCCTTTGATTTGTAAAGATTTTGTGTGTAGTTTCTGCAGTGACACTTTATTTTGAGTGATCCTTTTTAAATAAAACACTCAACAGATTCTCAGTAACATGTAAAGATTATATGAGGGTTAGGATTAGGGCCAGGGTGAGGGTTAGGATTAGGTATTGGGTTGAGGTTAAGGTTAGGGCACACCTAACTTCAGTGAGTTCAGGACTGTTTTTCATTCAGTGTTACACAAGAAAAAATGTGATAAAAACAGCTTAGTTGTTGTGCCACAGCCTTTTCCAAAATCTTTGATATAAAGGTAAGATTTGAGATGGGTCTATAATTTGATAACTTGCAGGGATCAGGATTAGCTTTCTTAATCAGAGGCTTAATTACTGCTAGTTTAAGAGTTTGATATAGCCAAGGCTAAGAGAGGAGTTTATAGTTGACAGAAGAGGCTTGGTAATTTCTGGCAAAATTTCTTTGAGTAAACCTGTAGGATTCTGATCTAATATGGTAGTAGAAGATTTTTAGGAGGAAATGATTTTAACTAGTTCATTGTGTTGAAGTAAGGTAAACGATTCCAGTCTCTCTGCAGTAGTTACAGTGTGCTCAGGATCTGGATTGTCATTGTAAGGCAGCAGGTTTGTAGAGTTTAGCTGTGCGTTTTGAATTTCTTGCCCGATTGTTTCAATTTTTTATTGAAAAAAATTATAAAATCATTGCTGCTGTAGGCTAATGGCATCTGGGGTTTAGTAGCTGTTTGGTTCTTAGTCAATTTAGAAACTGTGCTAAATAATAATCTAGGATTATTCTTATTATTTTCAATCAGAGAGGAGAGATTAAGAGAAGAGTTGAGCATGCTGCAGTAAGTGCTCTTCTATAGTCTATAAGGCTATCCTTCCAGATGGACTAGAATATTTCTGGTTTAGTCAGATGCTATTTATGCTCTATGAGTCAGACAGTCTGTTTTGAAGCTCGAGTATGATCATTGTACAACGGGGCAGCTTGTTCTGTCTTTTTATTTTACTTTTTAATGGAGCCACGTTATCTACAGTAGAATGAAAAGTATCCTCTAAATACTAATAATAGTCATAGTATGTAATTCAGTAGGTTCAGACAAACTAAACTTTTCAGATGCTAAAAGCTAAAAGATCTGGGAGGTTTCTGATAAAGCTACCAACTGTGGAGGATGTTACAGTATGCTTGAAATGATAGCTGGTGATGAACATATATTACGACTAAAGCGGATTTCATATGAGATTAGGTAATGATCTGAGACTGCTGTGATCTGGGGAAGAATGGCTAAATGATCTATGTTTAACGGTCAAAATTAAGTCAAGAGTATGGTTGTAATGAGTGGACTCCATTATACTTTGGCACCAACAGTCTAAGTTAGATATAAATGCCTTACCTAGTGGATGCTGTGGTTTGATAAAGTGGACATTAAAAATTCCAACAATTATTACTTATTCGAAAACATTGTTAAACTTGATAGAAAGTCAGAAAATTCCTGTCAGAACTGAGAATATGGAACTGGTGGCCTAAAGATTGTAATTAGTAAAAATAAATTCTTACTTGTTTTTCAATCATTTATATTAAGAATATTATTTCAAAAGAAGAGAATTTGTAATCTGTTTTTTAGTTCATGCCTAAAGCTTTTGTGTAAATGGTTGCTATGCTTCCATCTCGACACACCTTTTTAAGATTATCTTTAGTTGTTTCTGACTGCTGCAGACGAAAATCAATAGTACCCACATAAATCACTATCCTCGAATATCTATGGCTAGCTAGCAGCTTCAGATTCCCTCTAACGTCCAGCACCCTGGCTTCTAGTATACAGCTGCTAGTGGTACCCCTAAAGGAGGAGCTATTTACACAGGCTGTAACATCAGGGTTGGAAGGGTTACTTTTTAAAAGTATTCCATTACTGAATACTTGGATTACTATATTGAAGTATTATAATCTGTTGTAAATCTTTGATCTTGCCATGGAAGAGATTCAGGAGACCAAGGTTTGCAGAAATAATGATGGTTTTATTAAAAAGAGAGCGCTCAGTGTACCTGTCATAGTCTCACCCCAATCTGAACAGCAGCTCAGACACACAGCTTTTATGCTATGCAACTGACCCCCCACCCCCAATAGAGTCATACAGAACAGTGTGGGACATTTGAATCCTGTTGTAAATACCTACTGTGTTCTGCCACAGGACATCCTCCTTAGGGGGTGTTGTAAGGCCATTTGGTGTAATCGTTCAAACCACGAGAACAGAAATGGAGGTGGATTCTTAAACGCCTCAGCATTAATACTGTTTAACAATGAATACCAATTAAAGCAAAGTAAAGTAAACAGAAAACTAGAAAGTCTAGAGCGGCAAACGAGAATAAGGAGTTTACTGCCTCAGCAGATCGGTCTGCTGCTGTAGAATCTGGTGGTGTGGAAATCCATGTTGAATACCTGAATTAAATATCTTCAGCAAAGTGCAACATATCTCAGTTCTGAAAATACAAATAAAATACTTAATAAAAATTTTAGATTGATTTGGCTGAATAAAACTGAACTGCTGCCAGGGGAGAATTCTGAATACTTCCCCACCTGGCAGCAGTTCAGTAGCAGGACCACTTCGCCCCTTCCCCCCAAATTAAATGTAAAAAATGTCAAATTAAATGTAATTTTAATTTTATAGATTGTTATTGTGCCTCACGTTCTAAAGTTAGTTTTTAGTTTCCATTTTTTCATAATTGTGAAACTGAGTGTTTTGTGTCTATTTTGCTTCTACAGTGGCTCAGAATAAATTACCTGAAAAGCAGTAAACTGTGAAACTACAGTATTTTCAGAGACTGTAATATAAACAACATAATCTCACATTATTAAATGCTTCATGTTCACAACAGCACTGTTTGTTCAACAGCAACTTTCATTGAGCAGCACTGTTCATCTTTGTTGCTGTTTGTGTGTGTGTTTATGTATTTTACGTTTAATCTGTGTTTTAATCTTCATTGTGCATTGTGTGTGCTGAGCTATAAGTGTGAGGGGATTTTCTTCTCTCTGCAGGCTGGCATGGGGTGGGATTACAGAGGAAGGCTGTGTTGCTCTGTTTAAAGCTCTAAAATCAAACCCCTCATCTCCCCTGAGAGAGCTGAATCTCAGCCGCAATAAACCAGGAGAGTCAGGAGTGAAGGAGCTCTCTGGACTACTGAAGGATCCACACTGTAAACTGGAGAAACTACAGTGAGTTACTGATTTTTTGTTTCTACGCACACACATAATAAAGTAATTTCATTTCACCTTTTTAAATGAAGTTACAAAATAACAGAAATTTGGGTGGGAGGAGCATGGCTGAAACCCCTCCACTTTTCAATGCAACTCCCTATAAATTCCCATCTCTACCTTCCATTTCTTGTGATTGAGTTTTCAGAGTCTGGCTGTGAGATGCCAGTACTGCCACATGCCACTCTCCCACAGACCTCTGCTCATCTCTCTTGAATGATCCTCAGTCTTCTGCCTGCTCCTCAAGTGCCTTTCTAATACATCCACACCTTTCCCCTGGGTCATCACTGCATCTCACCACGAAGGAACCCCTTCAGTTTGGCTTCCCCCTTTCCCCTCAGACTGGACTAGCACTGTTTTGTTTGTGAAAATGCTGCCTGTGTCCCTGGGAACCTCCTGCTTTCTTAGTCATCACTGATCACTGATTCGCCTTCCTCCATACTGTTGACTTCACTCTCTTGTCCCATTCAGGACTCTGTCCATAGGAGCCTGAATATCCAGTCTGTTGCCAACAGTACATTTCATGCCACACTACCTCCCTCAGTGACCAGAGTATGATCCATCTGTCCCCCTTTTTCTGTCTTCCATCACTAACTCCCATATGCAGCCGCTACCTTCTAACAGCCATCCTTGCTCCATGTCCATTACATTCATTAAGTTATAGTCTGCTTTCATCTAACACTTTACCTGCTACATTCTCATAAATAACACCCGGACACGTTTAACACAATCTTCACAATCCAGTGTTGACCAGAGAAGGATGGGTTCACCTATTGAGTCCTGGTTCTTCTCAAGGTTTCTTCCCCACAACCCTGGGAGTTTTTACTTGCTGCTTTTGTCCTCGGCTTGTTCATTAGCACTTCAGAACCAGATGTCTGTTACCACAACGTCACAGTCACAGCTATCGGACCGAATCAAATTCATCGGTTTCATCCTTCTTCTTATATTACAAACATTAATAGTAACTCACTGCTTTACCTGAAGAGCCACATAAAGGGCCAACTTAAGCAGACATATTTTCCTTTTTAGGCTAAAGCCCTCCACCAAACCATACAAATCTAAACACTCTATGACTACCTCAGATATCCAAATGCTCCACCATCTGAGCTTTTCAAACATCAAGGGACACAGTACTGTGGTATGTTGAAAAGACAAGAGCGCACACAGTAGAGGCTTGGACCCAGATGTGAGCTCTGTACGACACATCTTAACAAGCAGTTGCCCTTCATTTTTTCAGAATGCTAAAATGAAAAGACAAAATATTGAATTAACCCCATAACCCAGAAGGATAAGCACTTTAGATGATGATGATGATGATGATGGTGATGATGATGAAATATTGAATTAAGAAGCATTTACTAATATTTCATTTATTTCACTTATTACTGTGTTGTAGGTAGTCTGAACTCAAGTAATTCGTAGTTTATTCATAAAGAGAATATAAAGTGTACATCAGTTAAACAGAGTTTAACCTGTAGATTCAAATGACTTATAAAAAGCAACCTGTGAGGTTGCTTTTTATGGACTCATATTTCAACAGTAACAACTGAACTTTTTAAAGAAGTCACAGCCTGATGTCTGCTGAAGCTCTGTGCTCATAACATTACTGTTCTTGCCATACATTCAGCTTCACTCAACAGTAGGGACCCCTGCAAACTGCACTGTTTTATTTGTTACTTCATTGCGTATTGTGTGTGTGTGTTGATCTGTAAGTGTTGCAAGTTTTTCTTCTCTCTGCAGGCTGGCTGACTGCAGAATTACAAAGGATGACTGTGTTGCTCTGGCTAATGCTCTGAAATCAAACCCCTCATCACAGCTGAGAGAACTGAACCTGAACTACAATGAACCAGGAGATTCAGGAGTGAAGGAGCTCTGTGATCTACTGAAGGATCCACAGTGTAAACTGGTGAAACTACAGTGAGTTACTGGCTTATTGTTTCTACACACACACACACACACACACACAATGTGCTGCATTGTGCAGTTGGAGTCTTTCACTGTCTTGCCTCACACACACCACACTACAGCTGTCTCTAAACCCAGTGTAAACGTTGCCAGCAGTGAAAGCTGCAAGGCAGCCACAAGTCATTCATTTCAAATGACAGCCAGTGGCAAGCAGTGACGCGAGAGATCTGAGCAGTGCCATGCAGTTCAGCTCTGCTCAACTTAAGGAGATGTACAAAGGAGATGCTACGTCAGCGGGGGTGTCTTTGCACTAGGCAAAATAGGCAGCAGCCTAAGGCTCCCATGAACCAAGGGGGCCATGTACCAAGTTTAATGTCAATAAAATGTCAGTGGCATGATAACTCAGCATAGCCTCATTGTGAATTGAGCTTATGTTATAGGTCAAGTCAATACCAGAGTGGGTGCTGATAGTGGTGGTGACTGCTTAAAAACACATAAACTCACATACAAAAAACAAAAGAACCCTCAGACAGACTATAAATATGTATATGTAGAGCGGTGTCACCAAGCTTTACAGCCTCAGTTTGCTGATTGTGACTCGTACAGTGAATATAGATTAAGTTAGCTATTTATTCTTGTTTCCTGTTCCACCTTAAATGATGTAGCTCTTACATTCAGATGCCTGTTCAAGTGCTAGCATGTAACTGCTACACTATTTAAGGTGGAGCAGAAATTAACAATAGGGAGCTAACATCAGCCTTGAGAGTTATCAGATGAATCATGACGATGTGGTGCTAGCTAACTCAACATACAGTGCTCCACTGAGTTTATTACTGTTTTTTCACAATTTTTATACATTATTTACTTGCAGGAAGAGGCAAGAACTGCAGAAAATCAAGATATGAAAAAGCCAGAAATATTTAAAAAAAAAAAAGTCCATTCTAAATTCTAAAACACCTTTGTGAGATGAATTTGAAGATCTCCTCCAAAAGAGTCATTTAAGTAGTTGGTATAATAGGGTTGGTGAATCAACCCTTTTCTCAAGTAGGGTATATTAACACTCCTTAGATGACTCCAGCCGTAGTCCATGATCTCTGCTGGGTTTGTGAAAGTTGTAGATATTAATGCTTTCATGCATGAACTACAAAAAATACTTTTAGATGTTTTACTACTCGGAACTGGATTAAAGCTCATGACTGTTTACATTTTAATATTAATGATCAGAACTCTCATTGGCTGCCAGTAGCAGGGCTGTGGCTTTATGTGGTAGAGATCTCCACAGTGGCTGCTGTAGAGCTCAGTGTAGAGACACCAAACAGTGAGACATTTTAAGTGTGTTTACATTAAAAGATCATAAACAGTCACAAGGTCATTAACCAGCCAAGCACATCATTACACAGCAGTGTTTAATTCAGAAACCTTCACTTTCAATATGGCTTTTTTATGTGTTAATTCTGCTAAGGTAAGCTAATCTCTGCTAGCCTGTTAATATTTTCCTATCATGTTAGCATCAAACTATCAGTGGTGAAGATTTTATAGCAACTCTCCTGATTAATTGCAGACATGTGAAGCTCAAACAGACCTTTATGTAAGATATTCTTAATTTTGGATTGCAGTTTGGAAGCCCTGCTAAAAAAAATGATAGAAACTTTTAGAAGTTTCTGTTAGTTCTTGGTGGCATCCAACAGTTTTTGTGATGGGTTGATATCACAATGTGAAGGATTCTAATGGTTTAACAGGTATTCTGGGACCGATTCTTCAATGATTCTTGCTTGATATGACACAGAATTGAGCAGCAAATCCGAACAACCTGTAGATTCGCATGACTTATAAAAGACAGCAGAAACCTCACATTTCAGTTTCTCAGATGGCAGATAGAGTAACCTAATGTTAATGTTAGTCTGAGCCTCAGATGGAATGATATGTACAGTCAAATGCCCACTGTCTTTTGGTGAAAGCTGCTGCACACCAAACACATTTCATTAATTGTCTCTTTTATATCATAACATCAAAGTATTTCCTAAACACATCTAAAGGCAGATATAACTTGTATAAGTTTTTAGTACTGGAGGCAGGGAGGGGCATTCAAAATATTTTAATGAATATTTATCACATCTGTTTTAGTTTTACTACTAAGTTTATTTACAGTAGCATTTATTATATCAGTAAAACAGTTTTTGTCATGTTTTATTACTAAATGTTTACCATCAAAATTAAATATCTGGGGTTGGCATATGTATTCGAAAAGCAGATGAAGGTTAAGACAAATACAGTTTGTAAAACAATTGTATCATCTTTGTCACTGGAGCTTGATTGTAATGAAAATGCAGATCAGTCAAATAAGACTGTTTATGGCAGTCATGACCCATTCGTGTGGTCAGCGTGCTGTTATTGGTTATTGCTGGGGCTCTGTTTCTGTTTTTTTATTTTATTTTGGTTTTCGTTTCATTTCATTGTGTGTGTGTGTCTGTGTCTGTATCTGTCTGTGTCTGTGTCTGTTTTTTGTTGTAAAAGCTAAAAGAGCAGAAAAAAGTGTTTAATTTTAGTTAATTAATAGTGTTAATTAAAGAAATAGCTCTGAGTTGATCATGCGACAGTGATGAGTGTTCATGTCTGATGTCTGATTTCTGTTCTGTTCGTCTTACAGAATCTCAACAGGGAGATGCCCAGTCTGAAGAGATTCTCACCCTCACAGATCTGAGGACACACTGTGTATATGAGGGTCATCTATGTGTGTATTTGTGACTTTTTTAATTCTCTTTATTTGTTAAATGTGCGAACAGATGCAGATGCAGGACTGCTTGCGCTCCCTGTGACATCACTTCCTGCACATTCAGCAAACTGTCAATGAAACCCCCTCATCTTAGAGCACAACTCACATTGATAGAGGGAGAGAGAGAGAGAGAGAGAGAGAGAGAGAGAGACAGACAGAGACACACACAGAGAAAGAGAGAGAGAGAGAGAGGAACAGTGGAAATTACTTTTATAAACATCTCCAAAACCTCTCCATATAGAAATCAGTGATACACACTCTGCTGTATGTATTTCTGCTGCAGTCTGTAAATATCACAACACAAAGATGATGCACAATACGATTCACAGTACTTTGATGCAGACGCAAAGCTCTAATTCCAGTTGAACAGGACTCTGTTTACTCATAAAAGCAGATTTTTTTTTTATTACAATAACATTATTTATCCGGATAATGATAGAATACTTTTAATATTGTCAACCTGTACTTTAAATATGAGATGCTTAGTGTATCCTCTACATTCTGTTTGTATGTTTGTCCTCAGTGTAGAAGTTCTGAGTTTTTAGCACCAAATCTGTCAAATTCTGATGCTGAATGAAAGTGATTCTGATGGTGAACAGCAGTGCAGTATGAATGTGCTTTAGATTCAGCTGAGTGTCAGTCTGTAACCCAGAGCTCCAGGATCAGGCTTCATTACACACTTCACCACTAGAGGGAGATAAACAGTAAGACATTATAAAATCTTACTGTAATGAGAGAACTGCCTCAGCTTTCGTGTTTTTATCCTTGTGTAAAATAAATGTAAATACAATGAAAAGAAGTGTATTTAAATTTGTATAGACTCTTGTTGTGTTGTTTTATATTTACTAACACTACATTTATATTCTGTTACATAGAATGTCTGAAGCCAATAAAATGGATGTTAAAATGATCTGTTGTCCTGGACGTTTCTGTCTTTCACTGCTGAACTGTGTTTTGTCTCCTCTCTTTATCTGAACCCTACAAAACAGAGTTTTTCATTGTCTTGCTCTGCACAGGTTAGACTTTTCTTTTTGGATCATTTCATGAAAAGTCCAAAAGAAAGAGCACAAGCAGGCAGACTAATCAAAATGTGTTCTTCTCTGGTCTGTTCAGTATAAACATGCCATATATGTGTGCAATCATCAAGATAAACTCCTTGTATGTGTTACATATTTGGTGAAAAAAAGCAACTCTGATTCTAAATACCCTTAAAACACTACATGCTAATAGTCTACATGACCGAGAGAGGCACTGCATCCCCCCCATGCCGACAGTCCTCCCCCCACTGTCTGAATCATTTTTTTTTCCGTATGACCTTGACTCAGATGTAGGCAGAAGCCTAGGGCCCATGAAAATAGAAATTAGATGTGTGTTGTGTGTTGACTTTAAATAAAATTATATACATACATTACATGACACACACACATATATATATATATATATATATATATATATATATAACCGCGACCCTATCTGGACTAAGCGGTTAACGATGATGATGATGATATATATATATATATATATATATATATAATATATATATATAATCATGGAGCACAGGCAGCGAGGAGCAGGGCTTAGTGTTTTCCATGTGGGCTAGGCTTCTCGATGCAACATTTGTCAACAATGTCTTCTGTAATGGAGCCATTTTGTTTAAATAAAAAGTGTCTCCTTTTTTAAGTAATATTTTTAAGTGTTCCTAAAATCCCAAAAAATATAGCATTGTCAAAACAAATGCGACAGTAGCCACAAGGAGAAATGTGACAAAGTATTCATTAGACTCATATTCTAATTTTCCATTCCACTTTAAATGCTGTGGCAGTTGCATCAAAACTATTGTCTTTAACCATATATATTTATATATATTTTTTATTGTTAAGATCAGTAGGAGTTTATTATTTATAAATAAATTTATTTGTAGACCATTGGGCAGAGGGAAAACCCCAGAGCCTTCTGAGGGCCTTCAGATTTCTGGGAACTAAAAATGCTTGTCTGTTATTTTTAGTTAATTCTTACTTGATTTAATCATGCTTGTATTTAAACTCTTTGAGTATTAATGTACTATTGTTATTTCGTTGCAAAGTTTTTGATGGAAACAAAAGGGTTAAATTCTTGAAACACCAAGTGGAAAATTGGCCAATCAGTATTGTTTTCTCTGTCATCTCTCAGTAGATATAGCTAAGTGAGCTGTTCTAGTTAATAGACTTTTGAAGAAACTTTTAATTCAAGTGTCTTTATGTTCAACAGAGGGAGTGAGGTGGCATAGTTCTGGAACTGGAAGGGAGACCAATAAAGGGGCTCTGTAGTGCAGAGGGCTGACAGGCAGTGCGACTCCTTACTCAGCTCCTAAAGTTATCTTTTTTACAAGAAAGCTTGTGTGTAGGAGAGAGAGAGACAGATGAAGAAAAAAAATACAGTGATCAGTGCACGCAGTATGTGCAGTGTTCTCACTCACCCATCTGTCGACCAAATAGTGTATTTACGAGTGAGTGCTGTTGAGGGAAATCAGAGTATGCCAGCCGTGGCCTCACCTCCTAGCCATGTGCCTTTAGCTGTCCACGACAGAGGTGCTGAATCTTATAATAGCACCAGGAGAATGGTGAACAGGGCTCTGTTTGATGTGAGGGTTGTGAGACATGACCGAGAGAGGCATTGCAGTCCCCCCATTGCCACAGTCCTCCCACCTTACCGACCTCCCAGGCAGCGGAGCAAGCTTGGACCAGAAGGCAGGCAGGTAAGAGAGGGCATCTGCATTTGCATTCTGCTTCCCTGTTCTATACCTGAAATGAGAAGTCCTGGAGCAACAAAACCAGTGGGTAATTCTTGAATTCAAATCTTTGGCCATCTATTGCAGGAGGACATGGTGAGTGATTAGGCCAGTGTGGCCAAATGGGAGGACCCTGTAGTGCCTGTTCCCAGAGGGTGCACAGAAGCTGGTCTTTTGGTAGGCTTCTGGCATCAAGGCCACTTGTCAGTAGCCTTTTGTTAGATTGAGGATGGTGGCAAAGCACACTTTTCCCAGCCTGTGAGTGAGCTCAGTGACCCATGGAATGGGGTAGAAGTAAAACTGAAAGACCTCATTCAGTTTTTTGAATTTGTTACAAAATTGGTTACAAAACGTTTCAGGGCTTGGGACCATAAGGACAATAAGCCTGGACTATGGGCTGTTTAAGACTTCAGTCACCCCAAGTTTAAACCTTCTTTCAATTTCCTCTTCAATTGGCTGGCAATGGGCCTCTGGAACTCTATAGGGTCACTGCCGAATGATGACGCTTGGAGGTGTTTTGATGTCATGTTGAACAGCATGCATCCAGCTGGGCTCAAGTTCATATGATTTGTTCCAGTCACCTCTTACTGGGTTGCTCTAGGTGGTATGAACAAGGACAAGGAGCAGGACCTGGTCTCTTGGCCGGAATTCCTGCAGCTGTGCAGGTCTGTTGTACAACCTCTGCTGTGCTAATGGTACTTCTTTCAGAGGTTCTTTAACAATGTGGGGAACCATGCCAATTCAGTGTTGCATTTCTCTCTCTGAGACACTCTATAGTTTGCATCTGGCAGAAGAGCGAGAACAGTGGATTAGTTTAAATGTTTTTCTCAATAGGACTGGCCATGGAGTCAGACCCCATGTATGAGCATAGTCAAGTTTAGCCCTGCTTCTTTTCTGGGTCACTTTGCTTGGCTTCTGAGCAGCACATTCAAGACCCAGGAATGCCTGCCTAACTAAGTGGGGTACTTTGAGGTCAAGAACAAGCCAAAAGGGCCACTCCTCTTTTCTTTTTCCTACCCAAGCGCAGACCAAGGGGACCTGTCTCATGTCTTCATACACACAGGAGACTGGGAGTGTGTCAGTGGTGGCAGTGAGTCAGGGTGCAGTGAAGGGATGTTTTTTATTAATCAGAAAGGGCAGGGGTTGTGGCAACTTTCTTGCGACCAACAAATCCTCAGTGACATGTTTCAGGCTTGTTGCTATTCCTTGGGTCACTTCCTGATGGTGCAGACTGGTTTCCAGAAGGTGTTGGATAAGCAGGTCTTGGGAAATCATACGGGTAAGTTATACTCTAAGTTCTGGGAAATTACATGGTAAATGACAGGAAGTTACACTCAAAAATGCAGGCTGTATTACAAAGTGTTAGTGAACACTTAATTCCCCTCCCACCTTAAATAAATGCTCATGATCTACTCAATCCAAAGCTTTTTTCTGATCACAAGACAGGAATCCAAACTCTGAACCAGACAATTTTGTCCAACTTATCCCTGATCATAAATAAACTGTCATAAATAGACCTTTTTGGTACACAGCATGATGATCTTCATGTATGTTACGGACAGTTATTCAGTCAGTTCATAACAAACAATTAAGAGAGACCACAAGTGGAAGTTGATGCAAAAGCTTGTCTTTATTTTTACATTAAATGATTTGAAAAAAAAAGTTTGCAGACAAGAAGGATAACATTACTGAAGTGAGCCAACTGCTGGTGGTTAAAGCCCACTCCAGCAAAGCCAACTTACTGGATCCCTGACAGCATTAACCCTCAAATTCTACATGTGGAAGAGAGAGACAAAGAAAAAAGGCTCCAGTGATCCACATCGGAAAGTCTTTTAAATGAGACCAACAACTGCATGCTGTTGTGTCTCAAGCCAATCAATCCATGCTCCACCTCCCAATGTCACCAAACTCTGGCAAAACAAACAAGATGGCCCAAAGGGTCATCACCCCTCCTCCCTCAAGAGAAGTATTAGCATATCCCACACAAAAACAAACTTTATACACAATCAAGCACTGCAAATGTGCAAAAGAAATGTACTATAAATTTTTCCTGGTCCTGTTCCATCCAGCACATCCTTCAAAACCTGTAATTGAGATTAAAGGATTGAAGCCTCCAAGGGCCAACTTTCAACAACCAACATGAAAATTCTCTAGAGGTCCTCTATTTAAAAATTATCATTAGGCCACATGAAAACCATGTAACAGTTTTGGTCCATTCTTCTTGATAGACCATCTTAACCCTTGTGTTGTTTTATGGGCCAAAAAATGAAAATTATGGAAAATTATAACCACCTCATGGCCTCTCTGGACTTCTGTAAGCATCAGCAGCTACAGTCTACGACCCCACACATGACTAAAGTTCAGAGGCAAAATGAACAAAATTTTAGACAAAATACATTTCTTGAAAGCATTGTTTACTAATAGGGCCCAATCAGAGGCTATAAAGGTGCAGCAGATGACAGCACCCAGTTCTCTCTCTGCTGAAGCCATGAGTGCAAGTTTCAGTGCCCAATTCTTTTTTCAGTAAAAAAGAAAATGATGACAGGTGTTTGGTAATATAAATGAGTGGTGTCCACTGATTTAAATGCAGTCTTTTTGCATTGAAAAAAGGGAAAATCCAGTTATTCAAAAAGTTTAGGACAAGGGCAGTATACAGAACATTGAGTCTACACAAGGGTTAAGTTCACCAAGGTTATGAGGGTTCCTCTAATGGACTGCATACATTTTTAATGAGATTGAAGTGAAGAGGTTGGCTGGGTCATCTTGATTTGGATGTTTTAAGGTCTTGGCTCTGGTTTCTTCACAAGTACAAAGTCAACATTATAACAAGTACAAAATTTACATTATAATGTAAATTTAATGTGGATATGTGCACTGGACGTATATGAAATAACAAAAGTGTCCGAATCCTTGTTTTCTCTTTCCTGTTTCCTGTTACCCACAATGATCCATATTTATCAAAATTCTCAGAGTATAAATATTGATCTGTGATCAGTTACACAATACAAACTGATGAGACTTGACTTTAGATTAGTATTTTCACTCTGGCATGCTAGATAAATATTAGCAAATGTGTGTTTAATTTGCTAAATGTTCCTGTTTCTCTGGTTGTCTTTTTGTAGGGGCGTGTCTTTGTAAGTAATGTGAAGCACTGTTTTAAAAGCACATGTAAATGGGATTGTTTCAGACTGTTAAAGTAGCACTTCACTCAAAACCAGGTGGTGACCAATAGTGGTCTTTCTGATGGCACCAGAAAAAAAGATGGTGAACATACTTGTGGCAGATATGGTGGAAAGCCATTGATGAGTGATCAGTGAATAGTTACATTCAACTAAATTAATTTTATATTGCTGTACATTTAATTCTGTTTCTTAATATTACTTGTCCAATTTTAATGAAAGAGGATCCCACCTTTACATACCATTACATATGCTCTTGGAGTAGTAACACTTTTCCCTTTCCTGAAGGATTCAGACTCAGAGAATGGCTACTTAAGTACTGGTGACCAAAAGTAAATCTGTGTACTTAAGTGTTCCTGTTTATTAGAATTAGATTCCTTTTGGGATCAAAGATGTTTTCTTATTTAAAAAATTGTTTTGTCACAGATTTTGGTCACTGGTGTTATCATGACTCTTATAATACATTTAACACAGTATTTTCAGCTCAATTAAACTGCTTCTTTGGGTCGAGGCTCATCAGAGAGGAAGCATCTCAAGGCATGAGAAGGCGAGTCACACTCGCTCACTATATTTCATTAATTTATTAATAATTTTGCTTATCAGGCAACACATAGAAGTTATGTGTCACTGGTGTTAAATGCTTTAATGGCTGGGTAATTAAAATTTTGTTAAAATAATGCTGTATATATAATTTTTATCATTTTAGCTGCACAAGGTCACCTGATGGCCAGTGAGTCAGTCAAGTCACAAAATCCTCATTTTCAACCAAAATGTCACCGGAGTCACCCTCACTGGTGTTACATCATATTCATACAACACCAGTGACTGTACAATATGTTTGGAGTTAAGCTCTTTTTTGCATACGTGATAATAGGAGATGTTAATGGACATATTAAGATTGTTCAGTTTTGAGATGAAATAAACTGATTTTTTTAATGTATCCACCTGAATTCTCACTGCAGATGGAGAACAAGCCTATTAGCTTTCGTTAAAATGGGACCTAAACTGACAAAACATTTCATAACACTGATTGTGTGTATGTTTTTCTATCAGCCTTCCATCGTAAAATAAGCTGTTTAAACGCTGATAAAACATTATTTATAGCGGTTAAGATATGGTTATGATACAATATTGTGACAGCACATGATTTAAAAGTGTGGTAGCTCTGCGCTCTCAGTCCCAGCGCGGAAGCGCCTCCACTCACACAGAGGCGTGGCTCGCAATGTCTCGTGATGGGCTCGTTGTGCAAATGAATGACAGATGTTTTTAAGTACAACATTCTTGTCCTCTTCATGAGTTCCTGCAGTGCAGACACGTTGGGTTTAATTTAATACGTCATTCAACTTTGCGTCATATTTGAAAGCCGCAGAGTTGCGGTGGCCACTGTGTAGATCCGCCCCTGCGGGTCTCGCTGAAACCGAAAGAAGAACGTTACCTCAGCCTGAACAGCGGCGTCATTCAGTGAAGGACAGAGAAGCGGAGCTGATACTGCAGACTGACGGAGAACTGGAGGATTTCACCTGAGAGAGCAGTGAGTCTGAGTTTAACACTGTTTATCATGATAAACTAAATAAAACACTGTTCTACATTATAATCTGATAAAGAATACAGGCTATCAGAGCTTCACCTGAGAGAGCAGTGAGTAACGTTATGAGTTTAACTGTAATAACTGTAACGGTCCGAGTTCAGACAGCAGCACTGAGAGCCTGAAATACCACCACCTGTGAAGTGGCATGTGAAGTAAAGTCCAGTTGACCAGGCGCGCGGGAAGGTGTTTTAAAAGTGTGTGTGTGTGTGTGTGTTGAGGGGAATAAAGTGAATATAAAATGAGTGACGTCATTGTTTTTTTTTAGCGCATCGCACATCAAGGCCACTCACTGGCCGCCATAAGCTACACGTAAACAGAGCATAAAGCAGTTTTAATGATTTTAAACTGTGTTACATTTTTTCATAAAGCGCAGTAATTCACCACATGACAAGAGCAGCCAAGAGCAAAACACGTTTGAGCGCTGTCCTCGGTGCCGAGGATGTTCCGTCAGTCTGCAGTAATTAAAGGACCAATATCCTACGTTTATTTTGCATTTTATTGTGTGTTTTCATGTGACAAACATGGCCACAGTTCATTTTACATGACCATTCTCCAAGCTCTTTTCATACCTTAGAATGTTTTTGTTAAGGTGCCTTTAAGACTGATCTAAGATAAATGAGCTCTGTTCTGATTGGCTGCCCTGTATTACATTCAGAAAGCTCTCAGAGGTGAACCAGTCCTTAGAACTTCAATAAGATTGGACAGCACTAAACTACTGTGAGCTGAATAGGTGGATATATGTAAATTAGTTGGTTCCTATGAAAAACATGCTGATTTTGCAGAATAGTTTCCTCATAAGGACTGAATGGACTGGAGAGGAAAACTTTAACAGTGTTTACTTCAGATTGCTTTATATTAAAAATAAATAAAGGAGTCTGCCTTTTACAGCAGAACTAGTTTGAGTGCTGTTCTTGGTTATGAAGATGCAACGCATACATTAGTGTGTATATAGCATGTACGTTAGTGAATAGAGAGTGGATAGTGTATGCATTAGTGTATAGAGACTATATAGTGTAAACATAATAATCTATAGTGTATGTGTATAGGGTGTGTGTAGTGTTTATATTAGTGTTTACTGAGTGTGTAGTGTATACATTAGTGTGTAGAGAGTGTGTAGTGTATACATTAGTGTGTAGAGAGTGTGTTGTGTATACATCAGTGTATAGAGAGTGTGTAGTGTATACATTAGTGTGTAGAGAGTGTGTAGTGTATACATCAGTCTATAGAGTGTATAGTGTATACATTAGTGTATAGAGAGTGTGTAGTGTATACATCAGTTTATAGTGATGTATACACTGATGTATACACTACACACTCTCTTTGGGCACCAGATGAGCACAGAAGTGCATAATATCACCATTTATTATTATTTTTTTTAGTTATTATGCTTCATCATTTTGCAGTTTCATCATATATAGTGGATGAATTTCAAGCATCTCCCCCTTTCCTATTTAATGAGCTCTGTAAATTATGAAATTCTGATTACTGCACTCAAACAGTGCATTAGTGACTATTTATTGGAAACATTATGTGCTATTTGGGTTCAGGAGCAAGTGTTTTAGCTCCGTAGTGCACTATGTAGGGAGCAGAGAGCCGTTAGAGATTCAGCCTGTACTTTTCAGTTCTGTTTTTGTCAGTGTTGTGAGTGTGTTGAGTGTTGTTACCGGTCAAGCTTCGCATTAGCCCCGCCCACCTCCACTATTCTTCAGCAGCAGTGCTGCACAAGTGGCTGCTCTTCAGTTTAAACCAGTTAAAACCGGTTACAGTCACATTGAAAGTGAAACCAGAGAGTTTCCTCAGCGCTTTTAACAGCCACGTCATTTTCTGAAGGAGAGAGGAGCAGAATGGCAATTACTGCATTCTGAAGGAGAACCAGAGGATTCTGCTGAGAGCTTCACCTGAGAGAGCAGTGAGTATGAATTTAACACTGTTTAACATGATCGACTAAATAAAACACTGTTCTACATTATAATCTGATAAAGAATACAGGCTATCAGAGCTTCACCTGAGAGAGCAGTGAGTAACATTATGACTTTAACTGTAATAACAGTAACAGTTAGACGGAGACACTGAAAGCCTGAAATACCACCAACTGATTATGAGAGACTGTGTTCATTTATTCCTGTATTTCTGTAAACACAGGCTGTGAGATTTAGTAGCAGAATGTAGAAATGCAGCTTTTTTAACAGACAGCTGCAGTGATGTTTATCAGTATAGTTGACTCTCTGGGTGTGGTCACACTTGAAACTGTTATTTTATAACTCATTCATATTCTGGCACATCCTGCATCCTGTGCTGATTGACTAGTGGAGCCTTGTATCCTGCACTGTGAATGCTACTGCAGTGCTAATGGTGATCTGTCTGCTCTGCTGTGATTGGCTAGTGATGTCTTGTCTGCTGTGCTGTAATTGACTAATGGTGCTCTATCTGCTCTGCTGTGATTGGCTAATGGTGTCCTGCCTGCTTTGCTGTGATTGGCTAGTGGTGTCCTGTCCGCTGGGCTGTGATTGACTAGTAGCTCATTTTTTTTGGTGGCATTTGAAGTGAAATCCCACAGACTGCATCTTAAGCTGAACATGCACTACATAACGTATAAAATCCTACCTGATGTCTAAAGAGACTCATACTGTATGTTTGAATAGTTCACTGTATACAGATGAAGGCTGTGATGTAAACTAGGTCTAACAAATAGCCATTTGGGATTTAGCCACATGCACAGTTCCACACTGAATAAATAGTGCACTGTTTGGCTGAATAGACTAGAATTTCACTACTTAGAAAGCGGGCTCTATAGGAAGGATAGAGCCATTTGAGATTCAGTGATTAAAAAACTTAGCTGCAGCAGTTTTGCTAACATGTTCCACACCATGCACTAACACTAAAAGTAGGCAGAGATATAAACAGAGGACAATACAGTCTCTAGCCAGTTTTTGTAAACAGATTTCTAAAAAAGCTATATATTAATTGGGTGTGTGAGAAGGTGTTATAAGGGGAAATGCTAATTCAATATGAAACGAGTGATGTCATTGTTTCTTTTTTTAATGCATAGTGCATCATACATTACGGCCACTCACTGGCCCCCAAAGGCTACACACAAACAAAGCATGAAGCAAAGCATGAAGCAAACTCTTACCGCATGACAAGAGCAGAACAAAAATAGCTTGGGTGCTGTCCTTGGTGCTAAATGTGATGTGCAAGTCACCCATGCCATGTGCACTAATGCACCCCCTCCATCACGGACACTGGCTTTTGAACTGTGCACTGATAACAAGCTGGATTGTCCTGTCCTTTTTTAGCCCAGAGAATACGAAGTCCATTATTTCCAAAAAGATTTTGATTCGATGGACCACAAGACACTTTTCAACTTGGCTCCAGTCCATCTTAAATGAGCTTAGGCCCAGAGAAGGCAGTGGTGTTTCTGGATCCTTTTTTATGTATGGTTTCTTCTGTTTTAACTGGCATTTGTTGATGCAGTGACAAACTTTGGTCACAGACAATGGTTTATAGAAGTGTTCCTGAGACCATGCAGTGATTTGCACTACTTCATTGAGAAATGTTATTCTTGAGTTGCTACACTATTTTCTTTCACTGAATGGTGAGCCACTCTCTATCTTTACCTCTGAAAGATTCAGCCTCTCTAGGATGCTGTTTTTATACCAAATCATGTTACTGACCTGTTGATAGTAACCTAATAACCTAAGTAGTTGTGAGATGTTCCACCAGGGTTTTTAGCATTGCACTTTACGAGTCATTTGTTGCCCCTGTCTCAGCTTTTTTAAAATGTGTTGCTGGCATCAAATTTAAATTGGCTAAATACTTTTTATAAAATTTTACAACATATATATTAACATACCATATAACAAAGCTTTGTTGGCTTGAAACCAAGAAGCTAGCAGCATTTCAACTGACACAAACACACAGAATTCACTCTGTCTCACAAAGGCAGTTCCAATGGACCCTGGAAGCCCAGAAAGCTTTTGGGGAATTAAAGCATCTCTGCTGCAGTTCTGTGGTTCTCCGACCAGGCACTACCATTTATAGTGGAGATTGACACCTCTGACATTGGTGTGAGTGGTCCTCTCATACTCCATCCCTGTGCTTTCTTCTCTTACTGCCTCACCCCAGCTGAGTGCAATTATGATGTCGGGGATTGGGGGTTAAAACTGGCACTGGTGGAATGGAGGCACTTGCTGGAAAGAACAAAACATCTGTTCCTGATCTGGATGGATCACAAGAACTTGGCCTATATTCAACAGGCCAAGCATATTAGCCAATTCGATTTTTTCTCATGCACGATTCTCTCTTCAGATAGTGGGACCAACCTCCAGAGTCCGCCATTCCTAAGACCCAAATTGTTGCTTCATTGTGCAGGGGACTGGAAACCACCATCCAGGGGGCACTGGATACTTGGGGGGCCCCAGGTCTGCAGTACGTCCCATCCTTCATCAGAGCTCAGGTTCTTGAGTGGGGGCATACCTCCCCTTTTGCATGCCATCCAGGGGTAACTCACATATTCAAGTTTCTATGGAGGCACTTCTGGTGGCATTACAATTTCCCATGAAGAGGACAAGGCCTACTTTGTCAAACCTGTGCAAAGGACATTCTGTCTACTGTGAACCTGTGCATATGGATGATTAATTCTGCAAAACTCTTGGCAAGGTTGGCAGAAAGTACAGTTGAATGCACCATGGAGCCAAGTGCACATGACACATTGCTTAAAGTGTTAGGTTTAGTGTGGAGAACATAGAAAAATGACTTTGTATTTGGTCCATCTAATTGACATTCTGCAAGGCAGAGCAAACACAAAGAGAAGTGTGCTGTGATCTTCTGCATGCATATGTGACCCCACTGGGATCCTCACTCCTTTTACCATCAAGGTGAAGTGCTTGTTCCAAGAAATATGGGAGAGAAGGATCAGTTTAGATGAGGAGTTACCTGTGGATCTTGCGCAACAGTGGCAGCAGTGGTGTGTGGAGTTACCTCAGCTTCACGTAGTGTCCATTCCAAGGTGGTATCAGATTGATATGAAGCAAAATAAAAGGTCGAACAAGCTTCATGTTTTCTGTGATGCCAGGGATCGAGTCTACAGCGCTGTAGCATACCTGCTAGGACACACTACAGATGGTGAAGCAGTCTCAAGTTTAGTAGCATCAAGGTCCAAGGTGGCCCCACTGAAAAAATTACTCTACCACAGCTGGAGTTAATGGGAGCACTGTGTTGCTATATTGGGAGATATGCTGAAACTGGAAACTGAAAATGGAAAAGAATCAGGTCAACATGTGGACAGATACAATGGCAGTCTTGGCATGAATTCAGAGTTCAGCACAGAAATGGAAACCCTTTGTTGCAAGTTAAGTAGTTGAGATTTAAACCCCTTACAAATTTAGAATCATGGTCACAATGTGATGGGAAGACAAACCCTGCTGACCTTCCTACAAGAGGGCTGACAGTGAGTAATCTCATGCATAGCCAGCTGTGGCAAAGTGGACCTTTAGTCCTTTTATCAGCACATGAGTCACAACACACCCAAGAGTTTCCAGTTGATAAGGTCAGTACAAGATTAAGTTCCTAGTTTCAGGATGCAGTTCAACTAAGCACCAGTGACCTGAGCCATTTTTACACCTGGACATGTACAGCAAGCTGAAGACAGTGCTCAGGGTAACAGCGTGGATTGTGAGGGCATCGCAAATGCTCACACCAAAACAAAGAACAGTGGAGAGCTCAGAGCTGAGGAGTCGTCTGCAGCTGAAATGTACTGGGTACAAATCACACTTGAGATTGTCAAAGACACAGAAGTGAAGAACAGCTGTTGGCTGGAGGTTGAGATATGTGTCAAAGCTTGCAGAGTATGGTGTGCTAATATCTGTGATTGCCACTGACTTTCACCCCTCTGTGCAGAAGGTCCTGTAACAAAAGCATACAAATGTACAGCATGAATATGACCTGTGACACATTATCAGCATTGTCAGAATTGTTAGCACCTCTGGAAGAACAGGCTTAAGAGAAGTGGACCTCCATTCTTCACCACATCACCAGTGTGCAGCACTGGACATGTGGTGAGAAAATAAAAAACATGAGGGAAATTAGTGAGAGAATGTGGAACCATGTGTCCCTCAGATGTTCAACCCCCTTATAAACACACACACACACACACACACACACACACACACAGTGGCAGTTAGTGCTGTAACCCAGCAGAAGTGTTATAAACGTTATTGCATTTGAAGGGAGTGAACTCAAATTGCAAAGTGTTGATGTGAGTGATAAAGTCTATGAAATTCGAATGTGATTGAGTTTTTGTGTAGGTATTTGTGATCAGCTGTGTTCAGGGAACTGAAATATTGTTCTTGTGTTTCAGAAATGAAGTGTGTTTGGGTGATGATTCTGTTCCTCCACTCCACTTTTTCAGGTACAGTAACTCTATTAACTCCTAAACATGTAAAATCACTACAAACAGGCCAAATCACTACTGAAACTAAATGCCTACAGATCAGTTTGAATTTTTCTTCAGATGAATTTAGTGTATGCTAATGAAAAACAGTGTTCCAAAGCATGGAGAGTGAATGAACGTGAGCGGCAAAGTCTGAATATTTCTTTGAAAGTGTTTCTTTCTGTTACCACTGAGATTATATTTAACATGATTTTCAGCAGATAAACACTGACTTGAGTTAAAGTTACGCAAGTTTTAAGACAGTTAAGCAAACTCTGGTCTTTTAGGAATATTGGGCCTCATTCACCAGTAAGTTTTTGTGTGTGTGTGTGTGTGTGTGTGTGATTGAGTAGATTATCTGTGGTGTGTGTTATTGAGTAGATTATCTGTGGTGTGTGTGTTATTGAGTAGATTATCTGTGGTGTGTGTGATTGAGTAGATTATCTGTGGTGTGTGTGATTGAGTAGATTATCTGTGGTTTGTGTTATTGAGTAGATTATCTGTGGTGTGTGTTATTGAGTAGATTATCTGTGGTGTGTGTGTTATTGAGTAGATTATCTGTGGTGTGTGTTATTGAGTAGATTATCTGTGGTGTGTGTTATAGAGTAGATTATCTGTGGTGTGTGTGATTGAGTAGATTATCTGTGGTGTGTGTTATTGAGTAGATTATCTGTGGTGTGTGTTATAGAGTAGATTATCTGTGGTGTGTGTTATAGAGTAGATTATCTGTGGTGTGTGTTATAGAGTAGATTATCTGTGGTGTGTGTTATTGAGTAGATTATCTGTGGTGTGTGTGTTATGAGTAGTTTATCTGTGGTGTGTGTGATTGAGTAGATTATCTGTGGTGTGTGTGTGATTGAGTAGATTATCTGTGGTGTGTGTGATTGAGTAGATTATCTGTGGTGTGTGTGTTATTGAGTAGATTATCTGTGGTGTGTGTGATTGAGTAGATTATCTGTGGTGTGTGTTATTGAGTAGATTATCTGTGGTGTGTGTGATTGAGTAGATTATCTGTGGTGTGTGTTATAGAGTAGATTATCTGTAGTGTATGTGATTGAGTAGATTATCTGTGGTGTGTGTTATTGAGTAGATTATCTGTGGTGTGTGTTATTGAGTAGATTATCTGTGGTGTGTGATTGAGTAGATTATCTGTGGTGTGTTTGTGATTGAGTAGATTATCTGTGGTGTGTGATTGAGTAGATTATCTGTGGTGTGTGTGTTATTGAGTAGATTATCTGTGGTGTGTGTGTGTGATTGAGTAGATTATCTGTGGTGTGTGTGATTGAGTAGATTATCTATGGTGTGTGTGTGATTGAGTAGATCATCTGTGGTGTGTATGATTGAGTAGATTATCTGTGGTGTGTGTGTGTGATTGAGTAGATTATCTGTGGTGTGTGTTATTGAGTAGATTATCTATGGTGTGTGTTATTGAGTAGATTATCTGTGGTGTGTATGATTGAGTAGATTATCTGTGGTGTGTGTTATTGAGTAGATTATCTGTGGTGTGTGTGTTATAGAGTAGATTATCTGTGGTGTGTGTTACAGAGTAGATTATCTGTGGTATGTGTTATAGAGTAGATTATCTGTGGTGTGTGTGTGTGTGTGTGTGTGTTATAGAGTACATTATCTGTGGTGTGTGTGATTGGGTAGATTATCTGTGGTGTGTGTGTTATTGAGTAGATTATCTGTTGTGTGTGTGATTGAGTAGATTATCTGTGGTGTGTGTGACTGAGAAGATTATCTGTAGTGTGTGTGATTGAGTAGATTATCTGTGGTGTGTGTTATTGAGTAGATTATCTATGGTGTGTATGATTGAGTAGATTGTCTGTGGTGTGTGTTATTGAGTAGATTATCTGTGGTGTGTGTGATTGAGTAGATTATCTGTGGTGTGTGTGATTGAGTAGATTATCTGTGGTGTGTGTTATTGAGTAGATTATCTGTGGTGTGTGTGATTGAGTAGATTGTCTGTGGTGTGTGTTATTGAGTAGATTATCTGTGGTGTGTATGATTGAGTAGATTATCTGTGGTGTGTGTTATTGAGTAGATTATCTGTGGTGTGTGATTGAGTAGATTATCTGTGGTGTGTGTGATTGAGTAGATTATCTGTGGTGTGTGTGTTATTGAGTAGATTATCTGTGGTGTGTGTGTTATTGAGTAGATTATCTGTGGTGTGTGTTATTGAGTAGATTATCTGTGGTGTGTGTGTTATTGAGTAGATTATCTGTGGTGTGTGTGATTGAGTAGATTATCTGTGGTGTGTGTTATAGAGTAGATTATCTGTGGTGTGTGTGATTGAGTAGATTATCTGTGGTGTGTGTTATAGAGTAGATTATCTGTGGTGTGTGTTACAGAGTAGATTATCTGTGGTGTGTGTTATAGAGTAGATTATCTGTGGTATGTGTTATAGAGTAGATTATCTGTGGTGTGTGTGTGTTATAGAGTACATTATCTGCAGTGTGTGTGTGATTGAGTAGATTATCTGTGGTGTGTGTGTGTTATAGAGTACATTATCTGTGGTGTGTGTGATTGAGTAGATTATCTGTGGTGTGTGTGTTATTGAGTAGATTATCTGTGGTTTGTGTGATTGAGTAGATTATCTGTGGTTTGTGTTATTGAGTAGATTATCTGTGGTGTGTGTGATTGAGTAGATTATCTGTTGTGTGTGATTGAGTAGATTATCTGTAGTGTATGTGATTGAGTAGATTATCTGTGGTGTGTGTTATTGAGTAGATTATCTGTGGTGTGTGTTATTGAGTAGATTATCTGTGGTGTGTGATTGAATAGATTATCTGTGGTGTGTTTGTGATTGAGTAGATTATCTGTGGTGAGTAGATTGTCTGTGGTGTGTGTGTTATTGAGTAGATTATCTGTGGTGTGTGTGTGTGATTGAGTAGATTATCTGTGGTGTGTGTGATTGAGTAGATTATCTATGGTGTGTGTGTGATTGAGTAGATCATCTGTGGTGTGTGTGTGATTGAGTAGATCATCTGTGGTGTGTGTTATTGAGTAGATTATCTATGGTGTGTGTTATTGAGTAGATTATCTGTGGTGTGTATGATTGAGTAGATTATCTGTGGTGTGTGTTATTGAGTAGATTATCTGTGGTGTGTGTTATAGAGTAGATTATCTGTGGTGTGTGTTACAGAGTAGATTATCTGTGGTGTGTGTTATAGAGTAGATTATCTGTGGTATGTGTTATAGAGTAGATTATCTGTGGTGTGTGTGTGTGTGTGTGTGTTATAGAGTACATTATCTGTGGTGTGTGTGATTGGGTAGATTATCTGTGGTGTGTGTGTTATTGAGTAGATTATCTGTTGTGTGTGTGATTGAGTAGATTATCTGTGGTGTGTGTGACTGAGAAGATTATCTGTAGTGTGTGTGATTGAGTAGATTATCTGTGGTGTGTGTTATTGAGTAGATTATCTATGGTGTGTATGATTGAGTAGATTGTCTGTGGTGTGTGTTATTGAGTAGATTATCTGTGGTGTGTGTGATTGAGTAGATTATCTGTGGTGTGTGTGATTGAGTAGATTATCTGTGGTGTGTGTTATTGAGTAGATTATCTATGGTGTGTATGATTGAGTAGATTGTCTGTGGTGTGTGTTATTGAGTAGATTATCTGTGGTGTGTATGATTGAGTAGATTATCTGTGGTGTGTGTTATTGAGTAGATTATCTGTGGTGTGTGATTAAGTAGATTATCTGTGGTGTGTGTGATTGAGTAGATTATCTGTGGTGTGTGTGTTATTGAGTAGACTATCTGTGGTGTGTGTTATTGAGTAGATTATCTGTGGTGTGTGTGTTATTGAGTAGATTATCTGTGGTGTGTGTTATTGAGTAGATTATCTGTGGTGTGTGTGATTGAGTAGATTATCTGTGGTGTGTGTTATTGAGTAGATTATCTGTGGTGTGTATGATTGAGTAGATTATCTGTGGTGTGTGTTATTGAGTAGATTATCTGTGGTGTGTGTTATTGAGTAGATTATCTGTGGTGTGTGTGATTGAGTAGATTATCTGTGGTGTGTGTGTGAGTAGATTATCTGTGGTGTGTGTGTTATTGAGTAGATTATCTGTGGTGTATGTGTGATTGAGTAGATTATCTGTGGTGTGTGTGTTATTGAGTAGATTATCTGTGGTGTGTGTGATTGAGTAGATTATCTGTGGTGTGTGTGTGATTGAGTAGATTATCGGTGGTGTGTGTTATTGAGTAGATTATCGGTGGTGTGTGTTATTGAGTAGATTATCTGTGGTGTGTGTGATTGAGTAGATTATCTGTGGTGTGTGTGTGAGTAGATTATCTGTGGTGTGTGTTATTGAGTAGATTATCTGTGGTGTGTGTGTGATTGAGTAGATTATCTGTGGTGTGTGTGTTATTGAGTAGATTATCTGTGGTGTGTGTGATTGAGTAGATTATCTGTGGTGTGTGTGTGATTGAGTAGATTATCGGTGGTGTGTGTGATTGAGTAGATTATCTGTGGTGTGTGTTATTGAGTAGATTATCTGTGGTGTGTGTTATTGAGTAGATTATCTGTGGTGTGTGTGTGATTGAGTAGATTATCGGTGGTGTGTGTGATTGAGTAGATTATCTGTGGTGTTTGTGTTATTGAGTAGATTATCTGTGGTGTGTGTTATTGAGTAGATTATCTGTGGTGTGTGTGATTGAGTAGATTATCGGTGGTGTGTGTGTGAGTAGATTATCTGTGGTGTGTGTTATTGAGTAGATTATCTGTGGTGTGTGTGTGATTGAGTAGATTATCTGTGGTGTGTGTGTTATTGAGTAGATTATCTGTGGTGTGTGTTATAGAATACATTATCTGTGGTGTGTGTGTGATTGAGTAGATTATCTGTGGTGTGTGTTATTGAGTAGATTATCTGTGGTGTGTGTGTGATTGAGTAGATTATCTGTGGTGTGTGTGTGATTGAGTAGATTATCTGTGGTGTGTTATTGAGTAGATTGTCTGTGGTGTGTGTGTTATTGAGTAGATTATCTGTGGTGTGTGTGATTGAGTAGATTATCTGTGGTGTGTGTTATTGAGTAGATTATCTGTGGTTTATTAAATGTTCTGTTTCTCTTTTACAGAGAAGTTTGAGGTTGTGGGTCCAGTTGCTCTTGTTGTCACTGCAGCTGGTTCTGACATTGTTCTACCATGTTCTGTTCGACGCTCGACTGATCAGTCCAGTCTGAGTGCTGTGGATATGAACATTACATGGACCAGATCAGACCTGGGAGGCGCTGTAGTTCATTTCTATGGAAATCATAAAGACATGAACACCGGGCAGATTCCTCATTACAGAGAGAGAACAGCTCTGTTTAAAGAGGAGCTACAGAACGGCGACGCCTCACTGAGACTGAGTAAAGTTGGTGTTTTTGATGAAGGAGAGTACAGATGTAGTGTTGAATCCAGAGAATGGAAACATGATTTCTCTTTTAAAATTAGAGTTGAAGGTAAAAGTCATTACATTTTGGTCATCTTTTTAAAATAATAGCCACTGTTTTAATAAATATACACGAAAAAGGAAGTAATTAAACAAAGACTTATGTTTTCATCCACAGTTATTGGAACACGGCCACTGATCACTGTGGAGAGATACGAAAAGACGTCTGAAGAGTTCACTTTACTGTGTGAATCTAAAGGCTGGCGGCCTCAGCCTGACCTTCAGTGGCTGGACAGTGAAGAAAACAATCTGACTGCAGGAGATACAGAGTCACACAGAGACGCTGA